TATTTTCTTATTCTGAAATGTTTTTTGACCACTAAGGACCTACTTGTCAGTGTGTGTGTGTGTGGGTGTGTGCGTGTGTGTGTGAGAGAGTATTTGTATGTTCTATATTCTGTAGCTTAGTATTTTCATCCATTGTATAATCATACGTAACATTCTTTTTACTGTAAATGCATGTACTTTGTTGACTATAGGGCCCCGCTCACAAGTTTAGCTTCTAAAGGGGTCCTAAAACCATTCAGTTTATTATGTAATCAAGTTAGAATATGTTGATTGATGTACTATTACCAGTCTCTTTATTATGTAACAGATTATATCATGCTTTGTGTGGTTTTGAATAAAATGAACTGAACTGAACTGGAACGAGCAAGAAAACAGATCATTAAAAGGGATTAAGCGACAAATAATGATTGTGATTCAAATATTTGTTTGAATAAGCACTGCTATTCACCAGAATCTTCTTTGTAAAAACAACTTTTACAAATCTCAGCCATGCTTACTGAGTTGAGACGTTCCATTCAATTTAAAATACTCATTGAAGAAATACACTTCTCCTAATGTGAAAGTGATCTTACAACACAGTGGCAGAATAGGCCTGTTTACTAATGATATGCGAGTGACGTCATAATCCCTCGCACCCTAGCGATTGTTACTACGTAGGGCAAGCTTTGCGTGGTGCGGCACGGTCGCCACATTGTTTTTCCATGCCCGCTACGCTATACACATACAAAGCCATTGCTAGCGACCGCGACGTTTTTTCACCCTAATTTCTACAATGGCATCGCCTTCGACATCGAGTTGTAGTTCCAGCAAGCCGTTTTCGCAGTGGACAGTGAAGGAGCTCACCGATTATTTAAGAAAGAGAGGAGTTACGACATCAGGGTACAACAAACAGAAACTAGTTCAACTTGCGACTGCTGTGGCCGATATCGCTTTGCCCCAAGACCCGGACCTTGCGAGCTTCGACTCCGCACGGTCGCTGCGGGAGAAGTTGGAGCGTGCGGGGTGCTCGTTCGACGACCCAATGAAAATCACCGGCTACACCGAGAACTTTGAAAGTATACCAGATTTCGGATTATACGACATTTTCAACTACCTGATAGTAAATAGAACTGACTACGACAGAAAGAAACTCAAAGCATATAATATGTCGATTCCAAAGTCCTTTCTTCCACAATTCTTAATCCATATTTTACACTTCTCCAGGTTCGTCTTTGGTTTGGGGAACGGGATGAAAAACACACCATTCATATGGGGTCTGTCTGCGTACCGTGAATCGCTGTTACACGTGCCGTAACAGCAATGCTTACCTCCCATTTTTGCGATATTTCGTCGGATTTCGGAAAATAAAATCGAAGATTTGTCATGTACAACTGAGAAAAACTATATTTATTTTAATTATATACCCTAAGGTTGGAAAACAAACAGTTTTAAACGAAGTTTATTAGGACGATGATCAGCCTTTTTTTCCTCGCATTCCCCACATCGCCGTATACAAAGTGTGTGTAGCAGGGCCGTAGCAGACACTGCGCTCGGTTTGTTTGCCAGAGCTTACAACCGTGTGCAAATTTAAAGGTCCGTGAATACATTAGTAAACAGGCCTATTGCATGGCTGAGATTTTTAAAAGTCGTTTTTACAAAGAAGATTCTGGTGAAAAGCATTGCTTAATATTAAAAAAAAAATCCTTGCATCAATTTGAATCACAATGATCGTTTTGTCCCATGATCCTTTTATTAAATAACCTTGTTTTCTTTTTTGTTTGCAGGGGGAGAAGAAACTATGTCACGTTAAGAAATCACAAAGATCAGTTGTATTATGCGTATATACATATGATAACAGAACAAAATGTTGATTATCAGAATGTCATTTTGGAATACCTCTATACAAATACCCGATCTTACTGTGCCGATACCACATTGTATTTAGCCCGTATCAGTATTAGTATGAGCCAATTTAAAGTTATTATTCTTTATTCAGTTCAGTATAATGCTTTTCCTCAAAAATAGTTTCGCTATTTTTTTAGGGTTGAGACGCTAAGAAATGGTTTCAAACGTACATTACACAAACCCTGAACCATTGCATAATGATGGTGGTTCTCTCTCTCTCTCTCTCTCTCTATTTATTGTAATCATGCATTATCATCTACATATAAAGCAGCAACACAAAACTTAGGGTTATCTGGGATAGGTGAAAGTGAGAGTTAAAAAAAAAAAAAAAATTAGTGGTCCTCCTCTCCAGCATCCCCCCACCGCTTTAATATTCACCGGTCGCCTGAGTCTGCTCAAAAATGTTAAACCCCCTAAACCCCCCCCCCCCCCCTGTAGATCTGCCCATGTTACCATATCATTCAACAACATCTTGGTCTTCCTCTTCTTCCCAATAGGGACTTTTAGATTTGCGTGGACGTGTTACGTCCTTTTAAGGCACTGGCAGTCACAATCATGTGACGTCCTTTTAAGCACTGGCAGTGCCTTAAAAGGAGGTCACACGTTGCAGTCCACGTTCTCGTCGTGCAAATCTAAAAGTCCCTAATTTTGGTTTACTGGTCGAGGTTCACTATTTGCTGGTCATTTGAAATCACCAGATTTCAGCGGGTATACGCTTTTCACAACGAAAAACTTCTCCATGACCATGTTTCTGCCCTTGCGCGATCGCCTCCAGCTCCAGCAGATATGGGGCGGCAGCGTGAACACGTACCGTTACTAACGGCGCAGTAGGCCTATAACCACTGCTGACTGCAGCACTGCACTGCGAGTTGAATCGTTAATAAATACTCATATAGAACGAGAAATCTTGCACGCTAATCTAAGTTCCATTTCATTGGTTTAAGGTTTGAAAATTGAAACTCAATATTGTGTTAAAGTTATAATAGAAAAGATAATCTTTATTTTATAATTCCACGGGGGCGATTTTAAATTTTGCAATCGCCCCCGTGTATTTTGAGCGCTGCTAATGGGACATGCATGGTTGCTACTCCGAGTTTCACGCCTTGCAAGCGATCATCAGACAACTGATAGCATTCTTCAAAGTACATGATTCCTCTGCAACCTTGGTACAAATACACTCAAAATAAGACTTAACTAATACAATACCTGAATAAAATATAATAAGAATTACTCATGAGTAATTCTAATTGTATTTTATTAGTTAAGTCTTATTTTAGGGGTATTTGTACCAAGATTGTATAAGATAATCATGTACTTTTAAGAATGCTATCAATAATTGCCTGATGATTGCTTGCAAGGCGCGAAACTCGGAACAGAAACCATGTCCCATTAGTCTGCCTGCTCTGCCTAGGCATTGACCACTGTTCAGAAGGATATATAGCAAAGCATAATATAAGAGGAAGGGGAGAGCAGCCGGGTCACCGTGCCCCAGAAGAAGATTACCCCCCCCCCTCGTCTTCCTTCGGCAATAATAGGGCAAAAAGTCACAATTTGGGACCGAAAGGTAAATAAATTTTAACTGGGAAAGTAGAAAATAAAGCAGCGGTGAAATAACGACTGCAGAATATCCCTCGCTGTTCTTTTTCGATAAGCCTAATATATGGCCCGGGTGTAACCATAACAAACTTGCCACATGATTTTGTTTTTATTTTATACCTCTAACATTTATACCTCTGACATTTTTACCTCTGACATTTTTACCTCTGACATTTTTACCTCTGACATTTTTACCTCTGACATTTTTTCCTCTGACATTTTTACCTCTGACATTTTTACCTCTGACATTTTTACCTCTGACATTTTTTCCTCTGACATTTTTACCTCTGACATTTTTTCCTCTGACATTTTTTCCTCTGACATTTTTACCTCTGACATTTTTACCTCTGACATTTTTACCTCTGACATTTTTTCCTCTGACATTTTTTCCTCTGACATTTTTACCTCTGACATTTTTACACCGAGCCGTTTAAACTGGATGGAGCATGCGCTTTGATTGATGTGACATGACCTTCAATGCGCAATGGCACTACTGCGCATTTTACGAGCAGTAGTTAATCACGAAACGATTAACGATCACACCGAAATTTCTGTGTGTGAAAGGCTCGTGATTAGTTTAAACACGTTCGAAACACGTTTATACTAGTCATGTTTATAGAATTTTAGCTGTGTGTGAAAAGGCTGTTAGTTTGTTCATTCAATGAATTGCTTCAATTGTTTATTTGTGGTGGGGTTGTACTCCACTCTGTGGTTATTGTGATACATATCAATGTTTAACCTTGAATCTCAAGTTTGAAGATATTTTAAACAAGATGGACAATGAGTTTGTTTTGTTTTTTATGTTTGTTTTGTTTATTTGTTGTTTCTTCAGAGGAGGAGGGAATATATAAACACATGTCTCTGGTGCATATATCAATGGTGAACCTGGATTCTCTCATTTTTCTCTAATCAGAGAGGGTTTTTTTCTTCCTCTGGACCCTGTCTCATCAACTTGATACCAACTTTTGAAGTTATCTGATCTGTTTTGATATTTTAATGGCATGCAGTTTTTAATTTTGTGATTGATTTTAGGATGTGCGATTGATTGGGATATCAATCCATATCAATGGCACTTTTTACAAGGCAAGGTCTCTTTTTTCACCATGGATATTTGATGTGGATTAATTTTCAGTTGTGTGCAGAGACCTACATGTATATCCAGGAGCAGAAGGGTGTGGGATCGAAGTACATACATGTATCGGTATTCTGACCAATTTTTGTTGCTCTGTAATTGACAATTGTAGTTATTCTGCTAATTTTCAAATGGATAAGGACTGCATAGTTAGTTCTTTTTATAACCAAAGTTACATATATCAGACATTTATTCCCCACTTAAAGATTTATTACAGATTCTGCAAAGTTTTAGTGCTTAAATAGGATGTTTGGGGAAATTTTTGTGATAAAGCGAGTCTTTGAAGAAAAGATGCAAGCTATGGAACATTGGTTGTGATTTTATAATTTTTATAGATCAACAAGTCTGTTCATAAATCTCTTTCTAAATGTCATCATTTGCCATCTAGATGTCACAAAAGCAAAAATGGCTCAGGACCGAAGGGATTTTATGGAGAGCTGCAAGACGGGCGACCTACATAGCGTTTCGTAAGTTTGGTAACTCTTGAATAAGAATGATAATGTCTATGATTTGTTGTAGAGATGAATATATATTTACCATGAATGATGACTATTATGTTTGAGATTGAAAAAGATGGCAAAGATACTTTTAATCCAAAATGTGAAATCCATCATTATTTCTAAATGTTGTATGACTTGGATATTATAATTAGAACCTGGGCAATAGTTACTCAAAACGAGTGATTAATAACTTTTAGTGAAGTAGATGGGAAAGAGACCCCGGTATGTCGTGAAGACTACCCTGGTATCTGCATCCATTTATTGCATTTAAACAATTATAAATAACTCAGTATGAAAATGATATGTCTGCATTCACTTCATAATGAACACAAAACCTGTACAAAGTTTATTCAAATATATTTATAGTTGTCATAATGTACATTATCAAAATATAGAACTACTACACTGATAAGTTGGTAACTTGGTATATACAGTAATTGATAGGGATTTTCATCTTTCTATTATTTTTGATAGCTACCTGTTAGAGGTGAAGGAAGTGGAACCTAACCTGAAAGATGAATGGAACAGTACTGCTCTGTAAGTGACTTTGAAGGAGACCAATCCCCCCCCCCCCCCTCCTTCCCCCTCCTGTGACAAATTTTGTTTTGAATGTATGGGGTTCCATACTGGCCGTATCCGATTCATAATTTCAATTTTAAATAGTACTTTCCTAAAAGAGATATTGATGTCTGTATAAGCATCATGGTCAGGGAAGTTCACTCAGACTTTTATATTGATTCTGTCATCCCTATTTGTTTTGTTTGTTTGCTGTTGGTTTTATTTCGGAGGGGGGGGGGGGGCTTTTATACAAAATGTTTACAATATAGTTTTAATATAGTTATAATTATTTAGTAGTATACTCTAAACACCTTTTGTTTGATACCGAAATTGTCATCGTGGCACACATATTTCCAGAATTATTCCAATTTTCATGATTTTTGTCAAGTGAACCTTTTCCATGGAATTTCCCATAAAGGTTATTCTGAATTCTTCTTAAATATCAGTAAGAGCATGCAGTTCTCCTGTTCCATTGCTAAAGCAGACTGCTCTATGAAACGTTTGCAACAGTTTTTTCTGAAAAAAAATATCTGTTAACAATTCTCAAAAGCTTCATGACATACACTGTACATGTTCCTGTATTTATATACAGTCATTCTCTTCTGAAGCTGTTCAAACAAATCTAACAATAATTCTGAAGGCCATTGCGAATTTAATTGTTATGTTTGCATGCCTTTGTCTTTGATTCCAGATACTATGCTTGCCTGTGTGGCCATAAAAATGTGGTCATCTATCTGCTAGAAAATGGTAAGTTCATTAATTGAACCAATTAACTTTTTTTCCCCATTTTGTTGTTGTTGCTGCTTTGCATGATGAAGCATACAGTTTATATCAATAAATGGGAGCTTAATTTTCCATCACACTCTGGCCTTGTATTGTACATCTAACACAATCAATTTGATCAATGTGTTGTTTGGCCTTCCCATGGGATAATGCAAGCTGAGGGGGATTTAAAAAATATACTCTTCAAAATTTATCAGAGCATGTACATGTATTAAAAGGTATACCTTTGTATCATAAAATGAGAGTGCTTAGAAAACGTAGCACACTATAAAGAAAAAGGGAAATGTTATCAAAGGTGTGTATTGACAACCTCTCAGGCCCTTAACCCCCCCCCCCCCCTCCCCCTCCCTTGACACCCATGCAAGCACTTTTATTGTGATTACCGTGATCCTTCAATAGGGTGCCGAAAATTGTATGCATCACTGCATTTATAGACATTTCTGAAGCTATGATTGATCCATAACATGTCGTGGTGTGCTTCCCAGGTGCTAAATGTGAAGCAAAGACCTTTGACGGTGAACGCTGTCTATATGGCGCCCTCACAGATGAGATTCGGGACATTCTGAAATCCTACAAAGCAGTGGTCACTGGCCATGCAAGAAGGAATTTCTACCTGGATTTCATGAAAAGGTGAGAACAGCTATCAAATCATCTCTATCCTGTATAAACTTCTTTTTCTATCATAGCATGTCCATTTTTGCTGCTAGTGATTTACTTTATTTCACATTTCATAAATGAAATCTGCAGATCTGAAGCTCAAACTTGGCAATATTATGTATCACCATATGAAGACAATCTGATTAAATTTTGGAGTAACTAGGTCAAAGGTAGAAGGTCACAGAGGCAAACTTATGAAAGTCCAGGTATTTGCCTCGTTATCGCAATATCTCAAGAACCATTAGAGATATGAGACTCAAACTGGCGATAATATGTATCACCATAGGAAGATGATCTGATCAGATCTTGGGGTCAAAGGTCATAGGTCACAGCGGTCAATTTCTGAAATTACAGGTGTTAGCCTTGCTATTACGATTTCTCACAAATCACAAGGTATATATGGCTTCTTGTTTTCATTGTGATATATCACAAATAATTCCATCCATTTCCTATACTGAATTTAGAGCAGAGGCATATATATATATATATAGAGACGTAGTCGCATTTGTCTATTTTTTTTTCTTTGTGTTTGTGTTTTGGTGTAAGTGTGTTTGTGTGTGTGTGCGTTCATTCTCAAAGAGTTATGACTTGGGTTATAATGGTGAGCTGTAATTATGCAGTCTTATTTAACCCTATGGGCTATTTCAGACCAAGTTTTTACTTGGGGGGGGGTCAATTTGAACCCCCCCCCCCCCCTAAGATCTCGGCCATTTCACTGCCAAACGCGGCGAAAATGTGCATACATGTCAAGTGAAGTGTATAGAATACTACGGTAAATTCAATTTTTTGAAAAATTCACTCATTTGCATATTTATGGTAATTTATGCAAATAAGGCCATAAAATTCACATTTTTGCCCATAAATCATACATTATTAATATTTAAGCATTGTTTTTCACTACATATATTTGTTAGACCATTTGGAATAATAATACAACACAAAAAATTGGAAGAGCCAGGTTATTCCTTATGTTATCTCTTGTTTTGATAATTTTTTATGTATTTCATTGTTTTTTAGCTTATGTATTTTATTGTTTTTGTTGTTTTATTTCATTTATAACTACAATTCAACTATTTTGACCCCAAAACAAACACCTAAGCTTTAAACAAGACTAAATAACCAATGTTTTTATCTCTCTTTAGGAAATTTCCATATGTTTTGTACATAAATCACAAAAATGAGCAGTTTTCGGGCTGAGATGCGAAGACAAAAGGTCATGTGACTTTGTAACTATACGTCCGATTTTCGAAAAAAATCATTTTAAAAGATGCGTAAGACTCAAAAGAAAAAAGTCATGAAAGGAAAATTTTATATCTGCCGCGGTTACGGAGTAGTCGCGAAATTTCTACAGGGGGGGGGGTCAAATTGACCCCCTCCCCCCCAGTTAATGTAGGGTTAATATACATGAATTCATTCCATCCATTTCAAAAATCAAGACAGATGTCATAATGAAATTATTTGACCTGGTATTTTAGAAGCAGAACTTTTGTGAGAGCACTTAATTTTCATGTACCTTTGATAAATCAACTAAACAAACACAAGTACAGAAGACCAAGAAAAATAGTTCTGAACCCTGTACTATTAGATCCTATGCAAAAACACATCAAACACCCATTTGCAATAATCATAATGTGCTAGATGCACTATCCGTAGTTGAGATATATATATATATATGTATATATACAATTTGAATGGAGAGATAGAATTTCAGACAGTTTTTTTTATCATCTCTCATTCAGACTACTTGAGGCAAGCTGCTACAGTGACATCACATTCGTCATACACAATGAGACGTTTGCAGCCCATCGTTGTATCCTCCAATCCCGCAATGAATACTTTGCTGAGATGCTCGAGACAAGATGGAAAAATAAAAGTACTGTTCACATCAAGTCTAGCTTGGTTAGTATCATTTAAACTATGTGGGGACGTTCCAGTAGCCGGACAGCCCAGGAGACTGACAGCCCTCACGACCGACAGCCTATAAGACCGACAGCCCATAAGACCGACAGCCTATAAGATCAACAACCCATAAAACCAACTGCTCATGCGACTGACCGCCCTTACGACCAACAGCCTATAAGACCGACAGCCCATAAGACTGACTGCTCATGCGACTGACCGCCCTCAAGACCGACAGCCTATAAGACCGACTGCTCATGCAACTGACCGCCCTCACGACAGACAGCCCATGAGTCAGTATTGTGAACCCTAAGATGATTTTACAGAAAACTCTTGAGAACAAAATTGTCAGTCTTACAGGGGTTTTCGATCTCATATGGGCTACAGCCTACATCATAAACCCATCCTGTTAAACCTCTATTGTGTCACCAGTTACATGAGGTGCATAAATAGGCTTACGCATTCGATTGAATTTACTGGTTTCACAAAACAGGTGATAATTTGTTATACATGTACAGGTATACTTCTACAGCTGACCCAAGCTGGCGCTAGAGGGGATTTTGTGGTAGTGCTTCAAGTACAGTATGGCTTTAAGTTTTTACTGATAAATGGTTCTTAAATCATGATTAAAAAACAAAGTCTTTGCTGATTAAGATTTAAGAATCTTTTCTAAACCTTTCCTGTACATGTACAATCCTTTTCCACAAATCTATGAAGGATAATAGAGATTTTCTTTTTTTCTTTTTTTTTTTCTTCTCCACTTCAGGTCAGACCGCAGGCTTTTAAAAGAGTACTGGAGTATGTTTATACAGGTGAGTACTGCCAGTCATTGTTCCATCTTGCAAATGTGATAATCCATTTAACTTGAAGTAAATACAATATGAATGTTTCATGTTTTTGTGGCAGTAGGTTTTATTAGATCTTTAGTTAGACCTGTTTTGAACATCAACATTTATGTTGTCAAAGGAAAAATTGGAGCTACAGTATGTCGACATAGTTTACCTTTATCGACAGAAGAATTTAACTGCAGGCCATGTAGAAATTTAAAACAAACAATATATGATGCATCACACCAGTATCTACACAAAATGATTAGCAATTTTATTCCGTATTCTGCAGATACATCTAGGAAATTTTATTTTATTTGTGAGGATAGATCGATAAACTTCAGCCTTCCAATCAGAATACTGCACAGGGTAGTTGATTTGTTTTTCTTCTTTTTCCGTTGTGGCATTGATAGGACAGATATACATTATAATTTTGATTTACAAAGAAGGGATGTGCATTTTAATGAAGACCATAAAAATTGTAAATAACTTGATCCTCTCAATACAGGAACCTTGCAAGTACACATTAACATAGTTGATGATTGTCTGAGGTTTGCCAAGCAATGCGGCATGACCTCACTCATTGAGAAGATTAACCAAAGACTAAAAGAGATCGAAGACTATGGTAAGTATAAAACCTTATTTTCTTTTTGTGACTTATACATATAATATCTAAATACATGTGTGCATGGTCCTTTTTGCTATGTTTTATTTTCAATCATTGAATTTTTCATTAATGATATTCATAGATCTATAAAGGCAACCAAATGTTACTTCATAAAATTTTATCAATTTGATGAACCGTTTGTCTATTAGAAACATGTCCTGAGGGAACCTTTTTAGAAAGACTACTATTTAGGCTAAGAAAAGCTGTCTCTTTAACCAGGTGACGTAGATACTCTGAAACCTGTATATATGAAGACCACTCAAGGGAAAAGCAGTCTTTCTAGGAATTCGGTCTTTATGTACAGATTTCACTGTATTTCATTTTGTTTAATGTCTTGGCAGTCCCTAGCAAACCTGGTACCCATATTCACATTGTGAGTGTTGAACCTTCACTAGACGACACACCAGTACAAGATGATCTCAACCAGCTGGCCCAGATGGCATTTCCTGTAGAGAAAAGAGATCCAGTGAGTATAAAATCTTGATGATCCAACATTTTCTCTGGTGAAAATTGCTTCAACCTCTATTTCTTAGAAAGTATGAGGTCAAAGGTAGGGTTGTTATTAAGTTTTCAGTTAGATTTAGATTTAGGGTTAGGGTTAGGTATAGTGTTGGTCCACGGTTGAAGTTAGGAACTTGGTTAGTGTAGGAAATAGATCAGTTTACTAACATATTCAAATTGTATGCATAATTTTAAACAAAATTTGTTTTTGATAACCTGAAAGCTTGTCTGATACTCCAAGTATTGTGGTTCATTCATTAATAACTGGTTAATATAGCTTGTCATTAGGTCCCCAGGAATGAAAAATCAATCAATTTCAATATTTGAGAGAACCAGTCTGCAGCTGAAGTCTGCAGCTGAAGCAATTGTCATAGGAGCATATGTTGTACATCCCCAGTATAGTGCAAAGTCTCATTCATACTAATATTAGTTAAGTATTAAAAGCATCATTTAAAGGTCCTATTTAGCTTATAAATTTGCATGTTGAAAACCAGTCCATAAGATGATCTGAAGCAATATTAACTATGAACATTGCAACTCTAGTTTGGTGTACTTTATTCAATCTGACTTCTATTGTATTTTGCAGTCTCTTACTGTGAAGTACGTGCCAGACTTGATTAGTTTTCATACCAATTTTGATTTCTTTAATTCTTTAAAACTGAGTCATCCCTGTTCCGATTACCATTCATTTTACGTTATATATTGTGATAAATATCTAGACAAAGTTGAAGTTAAGTTGTATGATTGGCAATAATTGTATAGATTTCCTATGAAATCTCTGCTATAGTCAGGATGATACATATATCTATGATTTTAGAGTCAATTGTACCGTGGTTAGAATAGAATTCTAACTATTCTTTTGTTAAAAGAAATACATTTTCCATTAACTATTGTTTATCAGTTTTCTTCAATTTTCACCCCCCAAAAATTTCTAAAAATCCCCGACAAATTGATCAACTGCCTGCCTGCTTTCATGACTACATGAAATTGATAGTACCATTAACCCTTATGATATATGTGTAAACATTTTCTTTGCATGGTTTACAAAAAAAAAATCATGTTTATAGTATAGTAAACAATTATTCAATGTATATAAACTAAATATATGAAGCAAATACAGTTTGTTAATGGTCTGTTACAAGTTCACTCAGATAAGAGCACATAGCAGTCTTTATCAAACAAATGTCATAACTTGTTTTTGATCTGCTTTGCCAAACAGGTACATAGAAAAGTCCATAAATTACACAAGAAAGCAAATTAATTCCTGTTTCTGCATTCTGATGATAATCATTTTGATGGATAAAATCCCATATGAATTTCTAATCAGCTTGCACAAGGAGTGTTTCCTTTCTGTGGAGGTCTTTTACAAGTTCCTCCGTACACAGATGTTTGCTTCGAAGTAGAACAGGACAAATTCTTCTGCCACAAAGTAAGAAAACTTTCTTATCAGATATAAATGTTCTTTAAAGTATTAAAAGATAATAAAATGTTCTATGGCCTATAGAGATGTAGATGTAAACAGACAAATACTGGGGTGTTGCTACACCATTTTGAAAGAGTGTTGACGAACCAAATTTGGAGACAATATAGCTGAAATGTTATAGCAAGCTCCACAAAATGAAAAAGAAAGTCCTTACATTTAGAAATTTGCTGACAGATCTTCCTGTTTTCCAACACGCAAACAAACAAAGAAAAGGAAGTGGTTATCAGTGTTTTAGATTTGCCAACAGCCTATACAAAATAATCTTGATGTTCTGTCTTTTATAGGATAAGAGGATTGTGTCATGTGTCGGTGAGAAGGCCTTTTCAGTTTCCATAATGGCCTTCTTTCAGGCACCCAATGGTTTAATAAAACAATTCAATTACTTTGACAACATTGTCAAAATCTTAAATAGTAAACATTTTGATATTGCACTTAATTTCTGTTATATATTATGGTATTGTAATGCATTCTTCCTGTTAGATGTTTTTCACAGAGAGAAGTGATTACTTCAAAGGTCTCTTTGCTGATCATTTCAATGAGGTATCACTAGATCAGAACTCCATTCCTATCATCAGTCTCCATGAAGTAACATCAGACGTCTTTATGCAAGTCATCTACTACCTCTACACAGACAGTGTGAATGTATGTATACAAAGCTTCTTAATTTTATTTTATTCTATTCAGCAAACTTCAATAATATTTGAACTCCTACATACAGAAAGCATAATGACAGTTTAAGATTTATTATATTTGATAAATGTGGTGTGAGAGTGATGGAATATTTGATTTGAGGTTGGGATAAATACCAGAAGAGGTGGGTTTATACCAGAATTACCTTTTCCAGCTTCTTTTAATTTTTGGTGCATCTGAAGCCTACATTGATTGATTGAAGGATTTTTATTGATAATTATCCATTCTCGCAGTCCAAAGACTGAATTGCAATGGTTACAAAAGTTTACAATGTATATACATGATAAAAGCAATTATACAATAATATATTAAAACAGTCTAGGCAATCAACATTGAAATACAAATAAAAGTGATCAAATGACAATTATTATAGCAACTATCATTAATTTCAATTAATAAGCATGAAATTCTTAACTGAAACATCCTAAAAATATACTATTGAAATTAATCATTAAAACCATTACTATTACGAATATGGCATGCCGAAGGGTTGATTTTTTGTCATTGGTAAAACATATTGGAAATCTTGAAATTGGATTTCATGATGGATTAAGAAATAAAGTGAATTACATTGCAAATTCGCGAAGAATATTGAAATTTGTTGATAGTAAAAAAATTAAAATAAACATATTGCACTGGCTAAATACTAGGTGTTCGGTGTGAATTCATTAATATTCAAATATTACTCGTTCTTTAGAATTCAATGCTATTACTATACATTTTAAATCACAATTGAATATGAAATAATTGAAAAAATTGATTTAAAAATTCAATGATTAAATACCTATTGGCTAAGTACTAGATGTTCGGTGTTAATTCATTAATATTCAAGTATTACTCGTTCTTTAAAATTCAATGCTATTAATATACATTTTAAATCACAATTAGGTATGGAATAATTGAAAATATTGATATAAAAATTCAATGATTAAATACCTATTGCACAATTACTGGCAAATACTCCCCACAAGGAGTGTATTACATTTTATATTACAGCAAAGTGAATATCAGGCATACAAAATAATTGGCATCAGAAAAAATGTTCGTTCAGAGTCCTTACCAAGTAAGGAAGTGTGCTGTGTCTTAGTCTTTCTGTTCGGCATTTAAAGTCTCTCAATCTATCACTGTGTCTCAATCGTCGATTCGTGCTCTGCATCTCTGGAAGCCAGTCGCGAAAGTGCTTGTAGAGCGATTCTGCGAACCTTAGGCACAGATGTTCCCTTCTGTCAGAGAGGGATTGCAGACCTGAAATCTGGAGGGCATGTTCATAGCTGTGGTATCGATCATGAAAAATGATACGGAGGGCTCTCCTCTGGACTCTCTCGATATCATTGGCCTGTTCAGATGTAATGGATGAATTCCAAACTGGAACACAGTACTCAAGCACAGGTCGAATGTAGCACGTGTAAATTGTGAGGAGATCTTCCACAGGGGCGCGATAACGCTTTAGGGCCCGAATAATGTAGAATTTTCGCGATGCCCTTCCTGTGATATCACGAACGTGGCTGTCCCAACGTAGGTTATGCTGCAGTATGACACCCAAAAGCTTGAGCTCTTTCACTTCCTGCAGAGTTGTATCATCTAGCTCAAGATGCAAAGGTGGAAGTTCGGTCCGTGAGAAGGACACTCTCATCGATTTGCACTTTGACGAGTTGATGCGAAGACCGTTATCCAAACACCATTGATGGAACAGCGTTAAGGTGGAGGGCATCATGTTGCATGACCCTCGTCTTCGGCTTTCTGCGAAGGTTATGTCATCGACGTATTTCCATCTGGATATACCTGCTGCGTCTGTCAATGCGTCATTAATCAACGCTAGGAAAATTGCTGGCCCAAGGCGAGTACCCTGGGGTACACCTCCAACTGGAGTAAGGGAAGATGAAAGTACTCCGTTGTATCTTGTCATCTGTTCTCGTCCATGAAGAAAGCTACTGATCCATGGCAGCAGGGATGGTCGAGCACCCATTGTGAAGAGTTTATTTATTGCGATATTGTGATTGACTAAGTCGAAAGCTTTTGAGAAATCAGTTACAACAATGGTGGAAACAGTTTGGAGCCGATCAGCATTGGTGTGGAGGAAATGTAGAAGATTGACGAGATAATGAGCAGTGGAGTTTCCTCTCCGACTTCCATACTGTTGAGGGTCAATGTTAGGTTCGATATCTGCTAGTAATTGGCGATAGATGAAGAGTTCAGCCAATTTTGCAAAGTGGTCAGTCAGGGAGATTGGTCTCAGTTGATCTATTGTGGGAGGAGATTTCTTTGGGACCGGAACGACAATAGATCTTTTCCACTGTGACGGGACTTTACCTTCCTGATATGAAGTGTTTATGATGTCACATATGGGTGAACTCAACTCTGCTGCGAACTCACGAATCAGCTTTGCGGACACTCCATCTGGTCCACAGCTTTTACCAACTGGTGTCTTTTTCAGCTCGCAGTACACTTTCCATGGATGAATCTCCATGACACTTGAAGGGTTTATGGGCTGATACGCTGGTAGTTGTCGTAAGTCCAATGGGGGAACGTTTGCTGAGATGTCAGTAAAGTGATGATTGATTGCATTAGCAATGGCTTGGCTATCAGTTATTTCCACTCCAGGAACCCTGATAACATTGAGTGGTGATGAGTTACTAGTCGCAATTTTAACAAATTTAAACCATGCACTTGGGTTCTGGTTTTTCAGTCTTTGGATCCGATTCTTGTAGTAATCTACTTTTGCTTTCTTGATTTCTCTTATGACTTTGTTCTTCAAACTGGACCACTCGGGACTGCAGCTACTGAAAGCAGCCTGTCTGCGCTTGATCAGTTCTTTTACCACTGGTGTGATCCAAGGTTTGTCCTTGCAGTGGACCTTTACTTCTCTTGATGGGAAGTATAACTCAATGGCAGAATTGAGGTCATTGTAGAAGTTGTCACACTTGGTACTGACATCATCTGCATTTGTGACACTAGACCAATCGTGAAGAACAATCCAATTCCCGAACCGTCTTATGCCAGATTCCTTCATCGGTTGAATGGTTCTTGATGTGGTACGGTTAGCATGTTTCACCAGATAGACTTTAGGCAGCCACTTAACCCCTCTATGATCACTGCGGCCCACTGGAGACATTAATTCAATAGAGGAATAGAGGCTTTGTATGTTAGTAAGTATCTTATCAAGGATTGCGTCTTTTCGTGTGGCTTTGTCAACCACTTGTTTTAAACCATGTCCGTTGGTGAGTTGACTTAGATTTAGGCGATTTACATCACCAAGAATAATGATTCCTGCTTGTTGGAATTTAGCAAGAATATCATCAATGGCCTGTGATATGTGCTGGATCAGCGAGTCACTGTCAGGGTTGTTGGGGGGACTGTATAGCGTTGCTACGAAGATGGAGGCCTACAACATACTATTCAATAAAAAAAGAACCAATTTTTTTTGGAGGAATTGCAAGACCATTAGATGCGAATACTTAAACATGTAAAATCTTAATCAAGGTGCCTAGTAGTGAAATGAATTGTCAAATCATAATTGAAGGGCATTTAATGTAAGACTTTCAATTAAAGAAAATACCTGATCAGATTTAGATTGTACTGATTACTGAAGCCAGACCATCAGGATGCTTGTCAACTGTTCAAAGCCTATTTGGGGCCTTTTTGCCCTCACAAAGACCTGCAATACATATCAACATTGTTTGCACTATATATGTATGATCATTAGGAACCTTGATGAGCGAAGTCCTCTACTATCATACAATAGGAACTTTTAGATTTACACAACGAGAACGTGGACTGCGATGTGTGAAATCCTTTTAAGACAATGTGACGTCCTTTTAAGGCACTGGCAGTGACGTCACATTGCCTTAAAAGGATGTCACACGAGAGCAGTCCACGTTCTCGTCGTGCAAATCTAAAAGTCCCTAATATTGCATTGTGTTGGCTGAAAAGTAATCTCAAAGTGTCATGAGTTACATGTTAGAGCAAATACCTGAAGATGTTCTTGTTGTATCCCTATTTTACAAGAGTAGTGATTGTTGAAATACTGTTTATTTGATGATATTCTATTTGACAATCTTCACCTTCTTGTTCTGTTTGTAGCTGACTGAAGATCTATGCTATGAGATACTAGTGGTAGCTGACCTCTACCTCTTGCCAGGCCTCAAGAGGCTTTGTGCCAACAAGATCGCCTCTCAGCTGACCGAAGAAAGTGTCTTTCAGGTCCTGAGGGTTTCCCGGATGTTCAGTCTGGTCAAGCTGGAGGATCAGTGTGTAGAGTTCATCAGCAGGATAGTTGAAAGGGTAAGGGTCGTGACCTTAAACTCAATCACACCACGTAAAGGACTCAAAACCAGCTCCAAACTAACAGATTCTTGGCCATTGGAGGTAATATAAACGTTTGTGTGGTCTGTTGTCCGTCTTGATGGTATGACCGAGGTATCAGGGACCCAAAACTGACTCCAAACTGATCGATTATTGGCCAATCCAAGAAATTTAATCTTTTGTTTGGTGTGGTGTTAGTCTTCTCTTGTTGGTCTGATTGAGGTATCAATGACTCAGAGCGTACTCCACACTGTCCAAATCTTTGCCATTCGTGGTAATGTAATTTTATGTTCAATCTATTGTAAGTCTGATGTTGGTCTTGTCAGTGTCAATCTTGGAATAGAAATGGACTTTTGACTCAGTGCAGTGGTCTCTTGAACAGAAGGTTTGCTTCAAAATCAAGTTGATTTGACCATGTAATTCTGTTCTAGGGGAATACATCAATATTACAGGTCAAGTCCCTTGGATAGTATTTTATAATATTTAGGTAGGGTTTGTTCTAAAAATGCCATAAATAGCGATGTTTATTCAGGATCCTCCTAAGAATGGCATGTAGAGGTGTTTTACAATTCATATCTTCCTTGTTTTTTTGTGTTACATAGGGGATTAATTGAATAAAGACTGCTTTTTTCCTACATAATGCAGGTTCAATTTAAAACCTGGGGCAGTCATGAGTTACATCTTTCATATACAGAGTGTTCCGTCCAGGGATCTGATACTTCCTTTGCTTTTAGCAACATTTATCCAGGGTTTTATTTTATCCAATATATATAGAGTTTGGGATTGAGTTGGACGTGGATTTTAGGATAGGCTCAAGGTTAGTGTTAGGGATAGGTATAGTGTAGTGTTGGGTCCAGGGTTGAAGTTAAAAGTAGGGATTTTGTTATTATTCACTGAATCAAAAATATTGTTATATGTGTTAATTGTACAATTATAATCTCGTTCACTTTCATCAATTGATGACTTTTCAGATAACAGACAACGAGGAGTTCATTGAGCTTGTCAAAGAGGATGCTGCAAGCGTTGAAAACCGTGAGGAGGTCGATAGCATCACCATCATTGACGACCTCCGTTACCACATCGCTAATAACCTCAAGATGTACAGTGAGCTTCAAGAGGCACAAGAGAAGCTGAGTTACTTGGATCATCTTCTTCAAGAACTTGGGATAGAGGGATAGACTGTTAAGACTAAGAACACTATTCTCATGAAACAGTGCCTGCCTGGACTAAGGATTTACTAGTAATTTACTTATTTTTCTCTGGGAATAGTATGATCCAAGAAGTGCCAGAGAAGCTTAATTGCCTGGATCATCTTCTCCTAGAACTTGGGATACACTGGTAGACTTGGAAGGTATTTATCCTGTTATGGTATTCTCTTGAAACAATTTTCTTGGAATTGTGGTTAACTAGAAGTCTACCAAAAGGCTCCTAATGAAGAAAGGTGAGTTGCAAGTTACATAACAGAACCTGAATTTGGGGATCGTCTTCTCTTAGTACTAATGGAGATGATATTGTCAAGCTAAGATCCTCATGGTGTGGAAACACAGGGGCTGCAAACGGCCCTGCAGGAAAAGCCATGTTGCTTGGATCAACCGCTTCCAGGACTTGGTATAGACTGCTAAGACTTACAGAAGAGCAACATGTACATGAAAATGTAGTGTGCCTGGATTGTTTTCTTCTAGGACTTGGCCACAATGAGTTGTCTGAATTAAGATATCTGCAGACTTGTGCTAGAACTTGAGATTGTGATCTACATTTCTTTGTAGCTGTTGCAGCTGTTTTTGTGAGTAATGCTGCTCTGTGGCATGAGGTCATAGTGCTGCATTGTACATTATTTGGATGAGTCAGATATACAAGTAGATCTATGCCCTGCATACTTGGAAAAATATTTCAAGAGTACTTGGTGAAATAAGGCAATAAACACATTGATTTACTCCATCTTTTCTCGAATATTTCTTGGTGCAGTTTTTCTACCTAACTCTTAAATTCCTAGTGCCAAGTGAATTTAAGCCAAATTTTTCAAGTAGTATGAATATTTTGTAGATCTGATTTCTGAATGGATTTTTTTGGTGGTATAAATGATGTTCATTTGCAGTGAATTTCTATTGCTGTAAACATGCAAAATACATGTGTAGCAATACTATTTTGTGTTTTCCGATTCATAAGATTCATTCAAAAGTATAATGACTGCTGAGAATACTTTTTGGTGGGAGAATTTTATCTTCAAATGCATTGCTTGGTACTTGGTAGATGATTCGATCTCCACAATACTCCTTGTGGAATTTAACTGGAGGCTCGGTTGTATTGATTTCACAGATGGACATTAATTTGAAAATGGAATAGAGGATAGGAGTTGCTAAAGAGCAAGATATATTTATGGGTAATGTTTATGAGACTGAACAGTAAAATAATAAACTTAAAATAAATAAATAAGTTTATAATAGGTAAATTATCATATAGTTGCAATAGGCAATTTAGTCTATTCTTAATGTAGATTTGAAAATATTTATTACATTATTGATGGATTTATACACAGATTTATTTGATAATTATGTAACATATATATGCTTTATACATAATATACCTTGATATTTGTATCAATCAATCAGAGGTTATTAATGTGAAAATGATATCTATTAAAGGGGGAGAGCAATATAACAATATATTAACTGTGTCATTACAACGCAAAAATTAAAAAATGTTTAAAGATTTGTACAATATTAGTCAGAGATACCTTCTTACATGCAGACATTTTTAGTGCCCTTTGATGAATCTATGATTATTTTCTTTTCAGTTTGTTAAACAAAGTGTTTCAAGGAGATGTTAAGATCAAGAAATTTTGTTATTAGTATTATTATTTAGTTTTGTGTTGGGTGCTTTTATTCAAATATTGTTTGCAGTGTTTCACTGTTTGAAACAATTTTGGTTTTTAACTTTTATTCAAATAAGGTTTTATGAAATTGGGAACCCCTTTGATTTAAAGTTTTATTCAAATTTTCTCATGAATCTCATCTGTAAAGCCATTTTTCAATATAGTTTATATATTTTATCATTATTTTGAGTATTTTGTTCAGGTATTTTATAAGATCTGGGCATCATTGCACACAACTTACCATTGATGGTAACTTTGCGATCAATGATAACTACCACCGAAACCTTGACTTTGATTGGCTGTTGAGCCCTGTTACCATGGTAGTTGCCATTGATGGTAAAGTTACCATCAACGGTAAGTTTTATGCAACGGGCCCTGGAAGGTTTCTTTAGGACAGTTTGCACGTAAAAAAGAAGGAAAACAAATTATGCCTCGGTTCTTGGCTCCTTTCGTATTTAAAAAAAAAAGTAAGCTATTATTCTTATCCTTGTTCAAAGTGAGTGTACGGTTGGAACTCTTTTGAGTTAGTGACAACCACCTGGTGTTGAATATAACTGTTAGTTTACTCTAATGGTGTGATCAAGAGATAACGTATTCATGATGAAACATTCTGTAGTAAAAGAATTGTGACAGTTATGCATTTTAATCTTGTAATATATTGTTTAGTTCAGTACTCATGGCTCCATATCTCAAATCATTATTCTTATAGAATTTAGAGCCCAAAGATATCAGTGTTTCACCTGTTTCTGTCAACACCCCTTATGCTTATGCAACTTGACATATTTTAGCATTGCTCGTGAGATTTTTTTTTTTCATGAGGTTGCCCAATGTTTCAGATACCGGTATTTGGTAACTTGTTGAGAGGAATCCCCGTGATCCATATAAAATGCACAGTAGTTGAGTCAAGACAATGAATATGCACAGCAATAAGTGTTTGCAAAATTGCTATGGACAAGATGTGACATAGATCTTCCTCAGCAAATTGGTGTGAGAAATAGTGCAGGACGAATATATTAATAGTGATTTCATGAAATTCAGGATTTGAAAAGTATGTATAATACTTGAATAAATTTGATCTGAAATATCACTTGGTTTCTTGGGGGTCCATGCAGGAAATATTGCACTTGGTATACAATTATATTGGACTTTTCCATGTTTCGTCCAATTGTTTTGTGTAGCTTACAATTCATGTATTTCCTCGAGGCATCCTGTAGTATGCAAAGGATTTTGCCATCAGTGTGGAATTAGAATTATGTATATTTGATGCATATTGTGAGGACATTAGCATGTATTTTTTCAGTTCAAATGTGTGTAGAAATAGTGAGTGCACACTTTAAACTGAAATGATCTTGGATTACTACATGGACAGTTTGTTGCATTAAGGCTAGGCTGCAACGTCTCTTCAACTGGGTTTGTGCTGTGGTTGTATCCCATTTACTGGTGCTGCATTCAATATTGTCTAGAAATTTCTAACAGAAAGCTGGAAGTTATTCTTATGCATTGGAATGTGGAATTTGACTCTTTATTTTGTTGTTGGCAGGATCACTCATTATTTGATGAAAACGGATGTTAAGCTGCTATTCAGTCTAGTAAATATTTTCAATATTTCTGTGGGAGATATAGAAGCCGACAAGGATTTGACTCATTTTGAAAAATTGTTGGTTTTGAAGTTTTGCTCACTAAATTGTCATTTAATATCTGTGTGACAAGAAAGAGCAAATTTTTGCATGACTGCATCCAATATAGTTGCATTTTCATACAGTGCTTGATGCCCCAGCTCCCCCCCCCCCCCTACTCCAGGGTCGGAAGTACTGCATGCATGTTCCCAAAATGTCTGGTAAAGGGGTACTTTTCACGCACCAAAGTCAGACTCATAGTACACAAAAATCTGACCCGTACTGACTTTACACACCGGACTTAATAGGGGTGTGTTTTCAAAAGGAGAGAACACGCATATGCGTACCCTAAATAACACTGTGGGTTGGGCTTGATGCCCATAAATTTCTAAATGGAATGTCAGATTTGAAATCCTGAAAGAATCAACATGTTGTTAAGCTCAAAACCATTGTTTCCTTAGGCAAATTGGCAACCTTTTTACATTGCAAAATTTTCAAAGGGAGTAACCATTGAAATCCTTGAACTGGCACCATGTTGATAAGTTTGAATTCACTGTTTATGCAAACACACCATTTTATTATGTTTGGCAAAGGCACATCAATAGTGTTTTTGTTCTAATGCACAAGTTTTTGATACATTACTTGTTATTTGTAAATTGGGAAAATGGAGCAATAACAAAATATGGGTGTGGAAGAAAACTAATCAGATAAGCTTTAAAACTTCTCTCTTGAATGATAATGCAATTTTAAACATTATTTCTTATATGCATGTGGCTGACAAATATGATAAAGGCATTTACTTTATTATTAAGCAATTCAACAGTAATTATGGATTCATATTAATGTTAGGAAATGTCATTTAAGTCAATATTGTTATAGTCTATTAATGAAATTATATCAATATTCTAGATGCAAATATATTCTAAATTCATATAATCCCATTTTAAGCTTCCTCATTCGATATGGAGAAAATCATCAATTGTCATATTCCATGAAAAATTTCCCTTAATCTAACTTAAATCAAAATCTGCGACCACAATTTTACCGTTTGATTTAATCAACAAACAACGCATTGATCCCTGGTTTAATCAAGTTCAATGTATTTTTCATTCAGCACAAATATTTCTGATGGTACTTTAAATGAGCATTACCCCGATTTGTTTTATGTTTCCTATTTAGTTTTGAAACAAAGTTTCAATATTTGTGCGTTTCATTTTATTTTTGTCAAGAGTATGTGTACCATCTTTACTAAAAGAAGATGTTTTGTGTATATAAATCTATATATTTGGCATTGAGACGTATATATGTAATATATTATGTAATCTTTTGTTACTATCAATACAGATTTCTTTGTTTCTCAGATTCTTATTGGAGTTTCCAAATCTTTTATACAGTGATTTTGTACAGGTATGAAGCAGATGTTTGATGTCATATGATGAAGTTAGGGAGGGAGATAGGGAGGGAGGGTGGGTAAAGGGAGAAAGAGAGAGAGGGAGATAGAGAAAGAGAAATAATGAGAGACAAGAGTATTATAAAATAAAATGCATTTGTAATGATGCCATGTCTTTAAGAATTGGAAATACAATCACTCATCTACAAAAAGAGTCATCCTTGGGATCAGTACATTCAAATTTGATGCCTTCAATTTTTGTTTTCCTTCAATGTGAATTAAGAAATGTTTCACAATTGCACACTAGAAAAGAGAGTTTTAATTAGAATTAAATCATCCGGGAATCATCACACCATTTCATATGCCTTTTTGTCCCTTTTTTAATCAGGAGCCTGCATGTCCTTAGTCCTTGCTCTGTCAACCATATACAACTGATCAAGTTAGTTGGATATCTTTGGCCCGGCAATGTACAAAAAAAAAAAATTGCAGAAAGTAGGGGAGAACCCAAATACCGGTAGTATTTCTTTCCTTGATATTTGGATGTTCATGATAAATTGTCTTTTAAAATTAAAAACCTACATGAACTTTTTTTAAATATATAACATGCAGCTAAGCATGTATGATATCATCGGCCTCGCATTGTAGGGAATGCCCAGATTGTACTGCATCTCTTACGCTGGTTTTTGGCTTTTGTCGGTATGCTTTTAAAAATGGTCAAAACTTCACTACTTAAAAGTAATCAATCAATTGGACTGATTACTAGATTGTACAAATTAATCCCCCAAAATGGAAGAGCAGATGAACAAATCTCTATTATTGATAATGCAAGATTGATTAAAAGTTCAGTAAAATATCTTATTGCTATTTCAATAAATAGGGAGAATGCAATTATTCTTACCCCCAGTTACCGGTGTACATTTATATAAAGCATCAGATACAATTCTAATGAGAAATTTCAGCCAAAACTAATGTGAGGCAAAGGAATTAATATAGTTGCTGTGAGAAATAACTGCTCTTATAACTACAAAATATTTTTTCATTTAATAATGCATTTTAATGGTCCAAATTATAACACCCAACACGTTATTAAGTATATTTACATAACTTATGAATAAGGTGAACACAGAGAGATCATGTATATTCATGTATGAGAAATAATATATCAACATCGACATATTTTTGTACGTCTGTTTTACCTTGAGCTTCACCCTGTTTTGGCAATGAAAACATTATGTAAAGTAGAGCAATAGACATACATATACATATAAGTAGCAACTTTACACACTGTATGTGCAATACAAACAATCTCAGAATAACACAAGATATCTAGAAGGCTAAGCTGATATTCATATGGACACAAGTATACAGAAGATTTTTGTAAAGATATTCCAGTTTCACTGACCTCTTATTCCATGATAAGAAAATATAATTTTGAGTACCGTATGTGAATTCAACTACACCATTTCTGTCAGTACCACTACCACCATTGGCAACTGTGCATAGAAATTAGAGCACTTTTTGACTTTCAGTCAGGATTTATTTGGACATGAAATAATTCCAAAGACTTATAAAAATGAAATCATAGTATATTCTGTTTTAAGGAATAATACTACGTGGTTACCTTAACCAATAAAGGTTAAAGTTTTAGCATGAATGTACTTATTGTCAATGTTGTTTCCTATCTTGATTTCCGTGCATGTAGCTTTATTTTTGCAAAATTAACTGTTTCATCGACCCATAGCTAATACTTTAATCAAAACAAGCTACGTGTAAATGTTAATCAAATTTGTAATTAGCATGCACTTCTCATCATAACTTATCATCACCAGCATAATATGGAAACATAAAAACATATCAAAACCAGTGTCAATGAATAGACCAAGGTTTAAAAGGAAAAATATGACAGTCACACACCATTAAATAATGCCATATAAACAAAAAAAAATATTTCAGATTCTTCAGCAAACCATTTCACATGTCTATATGCAAAAATAATAACACCATTTATCAAGAACATGTACTTTCACTCTGGTGGAGGGTGACATCCTGAGCAGAATAAGTTTTTATACGAAACAAACTAACTAGCATTGAATAATCATTTAGACAACAGAGAGCAACTTGCATGCAAGCATGTATGACTATTTCTTGACCTTAACCACAGCTGCCCCCCTCCATTCATTCATAAGCTACACAAGTCTCGCACCTACACTTTCAGTCTAGAGACTACAAATAGAAGCATCATATTTGTAAATGACAAGATAAAACCAAAGTCAGACTTGAATTAACTTTTAAAGTCCTGTGTGCTTCCTAAAAGACACCATGATATATGTAATTTACACATCAATGCAACTGGAGTCATTGAAATACACATGTCTTGATATTCATTGTCAATTCAGTCTATCACATCATTAGAATGGGGATAATATCAAATTCATTCTGATAAACATACAACAAAAGCTTCAGGTAAGAAAAGTCAAAATGGTTGACATCTTAGTACAAGAGTACCATTACTATTATTACAAACATGACAAACATAAACAATTATCTTTGATTAACAATTTTAACATTAAATGTGTGGTGTTATTGTTTCAAGGAATGATATCTTAAAAATTATATTATCTTTCACACAAAAAATGGAGTAAAATGACAAACACTAAAAGTTTCTTTCTTTCTGAATGTCCTGTAAAGCTCAATAATTTAATGAATACATATGTTTTGAAAAGAATCCCATAAACAAACACAAATTTAAAAATCTAAAATTCATATATATTAAAAAGAATATGATGCTGATTAAAACTGTTTTATCACATGGTGAAAGCACTCTGAACTATCAAAACATCAGGATTCTTTCCCTCTTTTAAACAAATCTCTAAGCTACATGAAATAATACAGGTATTAACTGCATGGAATACTGTGCTATAAAAATATCACAAATATATGCTGTAAAAATCTATAATACAAGGTTACAGGATTTTCTAATAGAGAGAATAAAATCGACAATCTGGTGATAAGAATACCTCCATACATTTATGTATGGAATGACAATATCATGTAAAATAAACTATCGAGTATCGATGTACATAAAAGAGAAGAAAAAAATGAAAGCAAAATATACAGACTTCCACTACCATAAGACATTATATACAACTGATATCATGCCAACAATTATATGTATTTAGTGTTACAGTGTTACAAACTAGCCTCATTGAACTAAGAAAGAAAAAAAAATCATCTACCAAAAGTTTTGAGTTGAATACCATATATCACAATCTTTTTTAAACAATATATGAACTAAACGTCCAATTGATGTCCCAAGAGTTTATGTGCTAAACTACTCAATTTCATAAAAAGTACACAACTTGATTTAATAATTTTGCTGTACACTTTGGCAATTTTTCCTTTGATTTGCTCAGTAGCACTATTTGAATTTCATCTACATACCCAATAATTTGCTACTGGCATATAATTATTTCTATCTCTTTTATGTATGTGCCATTGACAAGGCATCAATAACTGCTCAATAGCTCCTATTCATCATTTATTTCCAGAACTAGAGACGTTTTTTGTACTTTAATAATTCAAGGAGGCACGATAGCTCAGTCGGTAGAGCAGTGGTCTTGTAATCCAGTGATCCGGGTTCGAAACCAAGTCGATGCGCTAGTGCCCTTTGGTAAGGTATTAAACCTCATTACCAGGTCCCTCAGAGAGGACCTAAAGCCGTCGGCCCTCTAGTTGCTTACTCACAAGCATTTATGCTTTCTTAGCAGTCAGGTAAAATAACCACCACCATGTAATTCAATATTAGATGAAAAAGATTAAAATAAAACATACAGAACATTCTTTATTCTAAAAAGAGCCCTTTTCAAACAATAGCTCGGAGGTAGATTTTTTTTTGTATCATCACATCTATATGCATTCAATTTGAAACCTAGAAGATGAAATAAATACATAAAAATTGTCAACTGCTTTGGGAAAACACAGTCAAGAATAACCTGAATACATAACACTATGGCGTTTAATGTGTGCAAAACAATAAGCATATTAAATAGTAATAGTGAAGATATAAGAACCAGTAAAAGGATCGATTGACATTTGATCAGTTAAATAATTTCCAAGGTTGCATTGAAAGAGGTTCCAAGTTTATGTAACACTATTCAATTCAATCAAAGGTAAGTCTCATTTCTAAATAATATCTTACCCAAAATAAAAACAAAATGCAGTTCCTTTACTAATTAACATCTTTGTCAACACAAGAAAAGACATTCTACAAAAAGAACCCGTTTTTTATGAGTTGCTTACCTAGAACAATGGTAAATTCATATCTTCCTCATTGATAAAAACAACAACAAACTTGCAGATGCAATTAAACAAAATGAAGCATAACAAGTAGTCTACAAATACATTGTAGAACTACCTACACAAGGGGGAAAGACGAAGGCAAATAAATTCTACATAAAAACTCTCTATATGCTCTCTTTAAAATCTAGTCATCCCTCTTGAAATACTATCTAGTATTAAGCTGATGTGTTGGCCATGATAGTCAGCCTAAACAGAATTCTGGAGAAAAAAGTTGTGCTCGAAAGTAGGGTCTTAAAAAAATATGATGTTTGTAATTAAATGTAAGGATGTCATTACAAAAGAAATTCAATCTATGTTATAAACCTATTTCTTCATTTCAACAGTTACAAAACTCCTCTTTTTACCCCAACTTAAAATGTCTTATTCATTCAACTCCTTCCTTCTTTCCAATTTTCACTTCCAGTGCACAGAGACCCATGCTGTGATATGCACCTAACAATTATTTACTGCTTTTATTGATATCATTATACAATTGCAATTAATAAAAGAAATGCAGGCAGCCCCATTTACCACAGTAACCATTGAATACAGAAGTCCTATATCCGACACGTCCAGCTACAGGTCTCCAAATCAAGCAGCGTGCATACTGGACTCTCTTGACACAGGACCATCACGATTTTACATCTACATCACTTGGACTGGCCGTCTCTGTTCCGATTGGTCCATCGACCTTTGGTCCATTGACCTTTGGTCCATTGACCTTTGGTCCATCAACCTTTGACCCCTCTAAGCTGTCGAGGAGATCCCTAGTCCAGTCCTCCATGTCCTTGAAGACCACTTCTCTCTCTCCCTCTGGCTCCTTGTCCAATTCATGGAAGTAGCCTTCGTATTTCTGAGTTCACAAATGACAAAGACAAACAATCACACTTAAAATAAATCTATTTTGCTTCCATAAAGTTCGATGTTTTGTTAATATCCCAGTCACACAGACAAGATAAACACCAGAACAACAATTACATTACCACAAATGACCACAATTTCGGTACTCAGTTGGTCAGGAATCAGTTTGGCCGGATGACTAGGGTATACACCTGTAACAACCCATCATCCAGTTTTTGTTAATTGTATCATTTTAGTAGATGAATAGCAAGAAGTTGTGAATTCTCCCCACTTTACATGGACTGTTAAAGAAATGAGAGGCAACAAAAATTAAATCATGGAATAGGAAGTAATTTTCCATTTGTAATCAGCAATTGTAAAATGCGTTAATTGATATGTTCATGTACAAGTTAAAGATAACTTTAATCTGGATCTGTTTCTTAAATTTTGTTTTTAAAAAATTACGGTAAAGGTTATCAGCTACTGTAATGATTGCATTTGATTAGCTGTGACAAAACTCTTTACAAATTGTTGACACTCGTATGAAATAGGGCTCTGGTTCACTCTGAAATTCAAGCTACCACTTTGCAAGCAAACAGACTGTTGCATGTTTCTGAGAAAGGGTTGAAAGATCATTACTGTCATCACTCGACTGACCTTGTAGACTTTGCTCTGACTTTTGGATCTCTCAAAGAATAAATCTGATCCTTTGATATCACATATGGCATCCTTGGAGCCATGTTGGAGGAGGAATGGATAGTTGGCTTTGTGTTCACACTCTGCCTGGATCTGCATGCATGCATCGTACATCTTGACCGCCCAGCGTGCCTTGACCCCGCCATGCCATACCAAGGGATCCTTGACGTAGTCTTCTACCTGCATGTGAACATGACATAGAAGGGTAATACAGTTTTGAGTAGGAATAGACAGTTATGTTCACACTTGGCTTAGATCATAAATATGAATACACCTTTATTTTTTTTTAAAGGTCAGGATTTGAATGAATATTCTAACATTTTCTATGTTTGCTTGGAAAATGTATTTGTTGAGGGTAGTTGCTTTAATTAAAGTCTAGAAAGTAACAAGGTTCCCTTGCATAATTTGTATGCTAGGACACTGCTAAGTGCTAACGTTTAAATTTCACAGATAGGACGTACGTGACATATTCATAATTCCTGCAAAGTTCTACAGAATTTGATGTTGGCTGCAAAGGGACACACTACCTGTAAGGGTAATAGAGAACTGACTCCAGCAAGATTGGGAGATAGCAGGAAGATTTCCAATGAAAATTAGTTCTGTGATACATGCCCTGTAAACTAAATTCCTAAATTAAACTCTAAACCCAACCCAACCCTAACCCTATGCCTAACATAAAACCCCATTGCAACCTTAACCCTATGCCTCCTATGCCTAACATAAAACCCCATTGCAACCTTTACCCTATGCCTCCTATGCCTAACATAAAACCCCATTACAACCCTAACCCTATGCCTCCTATGCCTAACATAAAACCCCATTGCAACACCAACACTATGCCTCCGATGCCTAACATAAAACCCTATTGCAATCCACCCTATGCCTCCTATGCCTAACATAAAACACTATTGCAACACTAACACTATGCCTCCTATGCCTAACATAAAAAGCCATTGAAATACTGGCCCTGCAGTGTATATCTTTGACAGAGAACAAAGAGAAATCATCTTACCACAGCCGGATCTCTGCAAATGTCTGACACAACTAATTTCGCAACTGCAAGCTGAGGGAACATGTATGCAGCTCCTCTGGCCATGAATATCTCAAAATGAAAAGAAGAAACTTTCATTTAATTAAAGTAACACATCAACAAGTATCTTAAAGGTGTTATGTCAAACAGGGTGTCTTGCTTTATCATTATCTCAGTCAACCACTGAATGTACAATTAAACTTTGAAGGATATTGCAATACTACAAGCAAAAATAGGTTCCAAACAGTCTTCTGGAAATTAAATTATAATTGCAAAGTATTGTGTATATTCCAATAGAAAAGAAATGCCCTACATGCTGGAAGGATACCTTCCTTCATATACGGCACATTTTACGGAAGCAGCACATTTTACGGAAGTGCCCTCAACACATGTCAGAGGTCACCATCATTGTATTGCAGATCGTAAAGTCCCACGCTACATGTGGAAAGGAAGCTAAGCAGTAATACCCTGGAGATAATAATTTGCTAACATTTGTTATTTTTACCTCTGATTTTTAATTGCAGTGCATTGTTAGGAGTAGGAGCGGCGTAGCAAACGTTAAAGCCACTGTCCAATATTCGTGGGGTGTGGGAAGGGGTGATTTCAGAAGCATTTTAGGGTTTGTTTACCTGTCTCTCCGTGCACATCTATGGGAGCCAGTTAAGGCTTGGCGATATCAATATCATATTTTACATTATCACCAAGCCCTTAAAGGGATCGTTTAACAATGTTAAATCCGTGATGCACGGCTCTACGTGTTATCAGTGTCTGTGACATGGTGTTATATTGAAGCCCTAAAAAAATTGCGCTTCAAAATGATCAAGAAGTGCCTCAAAAAAGTAAAAACCTTTGAGTGACCGGTTATACCATACTCCTTTTCCCCTACAGACTGTAGTGTTATGAAAACCGTTTGGCAGACGCAAAACTTAATAGCGATTTTCAATCATAAATATCTTGATAATCAGACAGTTGATCGGCTTGTAAAAGTCATGGGGTTCCTGACAGACCTAATAATAATTATCCTTGCTTATATAGCGCCTAACACTTACTTTATCAGAAGTCTCTAAGCGCTCTACAATAATGCAGCATAATTACCCTGGCTTTAGCAGTGCAGCTGTTACGCACGGTGCGTTTCAAGGAATAAATTCCTACCAGGTACCCATTTACTTCACCTGGGTGGAGTGTGGCAAATGTAAAAGTTTATAATTATCATTGCAGCATGAGCTAAATCAAGGATTTTTTAAAGGATCTCAGACAAAGTTACCGGATCCCTTTAAGGCTAGGTGTGCATGGGTCAGAGATGCATAATAAATAACAATCGTTCACACTCAACTTACCAGGAAGGGCGTGGCCTGTGATGGTGCTACGCAAGGGGATCCAAATATAGCTCCAGCAAACCTACTTGAATGCGAATTCATCATCAGGATTGCAATGGTACCTCCCTAAATAATATTAGAAGATGGCAGATAGAAAAGTAGGTTAACAGCAAATCAAAATTAAACAAATAGTATTATTGTTTTTATCAGGATAGCAGTTTGTTACTGAAGAGGTAATCTTGCTTGTATAAAATTGTAGATAAATAAGTAAAAATCCTACAAATCTTGGATTATCAAAAGAATATTCTTCAAGTTACAGAGTAATCTCAAACAGGCACACATATATGTAGATTTTGACTTTGTTTCCAAATAGGTCGGAAACAAATGTTTTACATTCATTTCAGCAAAAGTACGCTTTTAGGCTCTAAAAAAGCCTACAAAGAGGACCAGTGATATCTATACATATATATATATATGCTATTTCAACTTATGCATTCAATTTGATATGCCATGTGGTGTATGCACTGCAGTTTTCCTTGAAAATAGGAAGTGTTAGTTGCAAACACTTCAGATTTTTCATGGTAAAGATATATATACAAACTCACTTCCTCATTGCATTCTCATAATCATAATGTAAAAGATGGACAGACAATTTCATTAAACACTAAATACATTATTATTGCCCCCTAAAAAGAATATTTAGTAGGGTTTTCACATAAATTTTTGAGAAATGCCAGACGAATGCTTCCCCATTTAATCAAAATTAAGCAGTAGGTGATACAGTCAACAACAGTGACTGCATTATTCATACGCTTTGGAAATATGATGTAAATTTCATTTTTTGCAACTCAAGGTGGACTGGTAGTATTAAGGTTTTTTTTTTAATACTTTTAGATGTAAGCTTTAATATGTCACATTCTAAGGAAACACAAATTGAGACAAATGCATTTTTCACATACTTAAAAAACTACAAAACTTGGTGAGGGTATGAATAATTTAGTTGTTAACTGTATACATGTACATACCATGGAATGACCAAAGGCTATAACAGGAAGGTTGGGATACTTCTCTGTCATAATGGTTGTATGTTGGAGACAGTCTTTGACATACAACTGGAAGTCTTTCACATCAACTTTCACACCCTCACTACGTCCATGGCCAACTAAAATACAAGAATATATAGATCAGACTTCAGAGCAACATGATGCATAGTGTAACAAGAGATATACACACGTTTTTCTATCACAAGCAGCATTTTGGGCATGTCAGATAGACATTATGTAGAATCATGTAAAGAGAAGAATGGGAAATGGAATCTAGACCTTAATATTCTACAAAGAGTAGAGATGATACAGGGTCTAAAGAATTCTAAATATTCTGGCCATATGGCCTGTCTCTTTCAGAAGCAATTGAGCTGATGAATTACAATTCTTGATGTGTAAGAAAAGATATTAGTGATGTGTAAGAAAAGATATTGGTGATGTACTTGTATTAATTACAGTTTAATATAGCTGCTGGTACTATCACTGCGAAACGTATCCCCTCCACATACCAGCCCCCCCCCCCACCCCCCACCAATTTAAAAACTGATCAACATTTACATACAAGTATATTGTACAGGTAGAATCTACTGCAGATGCAAAGGAAATTTTGTTAATTCAAATAAAATCAAATCACAGTGAGAAAATGGCAATCTCATAGACATGGATTTAAAACAAAAATTGCAACACTAGTTTTATAGCTCAAAAAGCCTCAAATAATTCAGTATTATGAATAAAATGCGATGAATCACAAATCCATATCTTTTTCTACCATTGCAGAAAGCACATGTGACATCTATAGAGATAATGTTTCATTTGTATGCGAGGGGTGCAATGACTTAGTGGTAGAGCAGTGCATGGTCTTGTATCCGGGTTTGCAGGACAATAACATCACTCCTTCAATGTAAAAGAAGGGATGGGGATCGACAAACGGACAATCTGACAATGTCAATGGTGTTTGATAGGCGGGTGTGAGGTCATTATGCATACAGTTTATTGTGCCTTTAATCAATCAATTATTAAAGCAATCAAGATTTCTAAGATACTAACCATGGTCGTGGCCATATACAAGACATCCTAGTTTGGTGAAAGAAGCTGCAACAGCATCATAACGGCCAATGTGTTCACCTACTCCATGAATAACATGCACTAGGGCTCTGAATTAAAGAATAAGCGAGAAGAACAAGATTTGTAATGGTATAAATTTATTCATAGACTATATCTTTCCAGAGTAAGTCAATCAAAGTTTAAAGGTAAAGACCAGTTATGGTCATGCGATTGCATTGTAAAAGAAACGTTGTTGAATCGATCAGAAAAGGTTGATCATCTAGCATATAAGTATTGGTGTGTACTGCAAGGTTCTGGAATCATCAAATGATAAGAATATGGCCCAGTCTTCGTAAAGTTACAAGCACTGTAGACAGAAAGATGTATATGGGACTATACGCACACGTGCGCGACACGTGTGTTTATCTTACAGACCATGTAGATAAACTAATTTACCAAATATCAATTAGTAGGCGGTTTCCTGGCAAAATTGTTATCATCATGTATTAGTCAAAACATATTCTTTCACATGATTGGTAATAAGAGCTTCCATTTCATTTTTTGAAATTGGGGCGTTTCCAAGACTGGTCTTTAACTTTAAGTTTCTTTTAATAGCCAGTATATTAACAAAGTAATATTACCAGCAATAAAATGATATCTGCATGATAACAACACGCTGCCAGGAATATGTCATCTATTATAAAGAACCAGAACTTTCCAGAAGGTCTTTAATGTATACATACCCTTCTGGCTCTCAACAGATGACAAATTTCTAACAGTGTTGTTATCAGGCAGATGTCATTTAATTGTCATTGCATTGTTATTCAACCCTGTGCGAAGCCAAAGTGAGAAATAAAACTGCTTATCTAAGGAATTAATGATAACCTATCTAGATAAACATCCTCTCAAATCTAGCTCTCAAATAGCACATGGTAGAGGCATACAGTACTTTAATACAGGTCTATTTTCTGGGCACATCTGAGTCATGTCAAACCGTGACAACTTTGTACTGTATCCAAAAATATCATGAATTTACTAAAAATACAAATGAAATTCTATCCCCAAATAACGCTGGACTCAATAAAAGTTGAAGAATCAGGCCCCATATATCAAAGGTTTCAGGTTAATCAGATAACAATTGTAACACTAAAAATAAATGCGGAATCACTCCATAATCAATCAAACAAGAAACAAACTTGGGAGGGGGGAAACTCCCAGCCCGGAGGGCGGGGGAGTACTCAAATTTGGTTTGGAAGGGGGTGTGCCACTCAAGCCTGTAAACCCCTACCCATTTTTAAGGGTCATTATTGGGGATTTTCTCGAATTAAAGCCCATTTTTCATGATTTTTGGGTGTTTGCCATGCAAATACTCGAGAAAAAAGAAAAAAAAAATTGAAATTTTGAAAAACGGACCTAGATCTACGGTAATCCCCCTTCGCGGCTCACGGTTCGTAGTCTCGCCATATCAGACGTTCTGCTTAAGGTTAGTCTAGCAGCAAAGAAAAAAGCTCGGCACTCCACCTAGATTATAGGCTAGTACAGATATCAAATCTCTGATAAAAATGTATCTCAAAACACCGGAGCGCCACACAGGAGCAGAGCTTCCAATCCCACGCATGACCATGCCCTCTTCAATGTCATTCGTACGCAAGACAGGCAATAATAAGACGGCGACAATGACATGTGATATCTACTTCAATAACTTCTATTTTCTCTATAATAATGCACTCACCTCACATCTTTATTATCTGGATACCAGTACCTACAGAATATGTTCAATCCATCCGCATTTTTTAATGTGCTTTCACTCGGTTTTTCCGCCATTTTACACTTTATTTTGCTCGATGGCTTAGCTGGCTACGTAAAGTCTGATGTCAACAACATTACGATTACAAGAAATGTGATCGTGAATGAACGCGGTGTACTTGCAGTACGCTTATGTCAAATCCCGCCTCCTGACACACCCATCTTTCTTCATGGACCCGGATTATTGGTGGATTATCAGCATTTTGCTAGCCTGATGGAGAAAGCTAGAACGGAGAGAGGATGGGAGAGGAGAAAGAGAGGGAAGCATCGAGAGAGAGCGAGAGAGAGAAAAAGACTGCTCAGAGTTGAAATTGAGAGACTGGAGACATTATAGTCTAGTCGGACATGGAGACATAGAGAGACAGAGATATATATATATAGAGAGAGAGAGAGAGAGAGAGAGAGAGAGAGAGAGATATATAAAATAAAATAAATAAATGGTATACTTATAGGATCCATCAAATTAAAAAAATAATGATCTTTTCGGCACATGGTGAACTATGGCTAATCAATAAGCTTGACCGTCACTATAGGTCGATTTCTATTGATTTTACTATAAATCTCGAATTATTTATATCTTATTAAGTTACAGTGCACGACCCCCTCACCTGAAACAAACAAATTCTCCACCGACAAAATATTTCCGGTCATAAGATGAATCTGTTTCGATTCTGTTTAAAACATGCACATGACATGACACACGCGGGTATATGGTAATCAAATTAAATTAAATAAGGATCCTTAGGACTACAGCATAGTAAATTATGATGACAAAAACAGACCCCCCCCCCCCCCCGCCAACGAATGTTTGTTATGTAAATGCTAGTATGATATGGTTCTAAGACAATAATCCCCTGCGCTGGACAATCACCCCCGGAAAATTACCCCCGAGGACAATACTCCCCGTGGCCCCGGTTGACAATTACCCCCCGAACAACAAAAAAATCAACTTATTATCAGGTTAGGGGTGTTTTAAAATGTTAAAGACACCCTTTATCTGTGTTTTTTTTTAATTTAAATCTATGGCTATGCCCCTCCCCCCTGGCAAAAAAATAAGAAATGTAAAAACTGTTTTTTTAATTTTTGTGTTCAAGGGGAGGGGGGAGATGTTGAAGGGGGAAAAAGGAGTGCTCCCCTCCCCCCCCCCCTCCCCCGTTGCGTTGAGCACAAACAATTAATTAGTGCTTACTAAAACTTTCCCTTTTCTTTCCCCCTTTCTCTCCCTCCCCCGGCTCTCTCTAACACATACCACGTACACACCCACTCACACACATGACTCTCCATTTTCTATCTTTCATTCATTTTTCTTTCGTTTTCAGTTCATTCTTTTCTTTCCTGTTTGATTCCTTTCCTTTTCCTGGTCGAAGGGTTTACAGTTTTAATAATGTAATTGAAATGCATGGTTTGCCTAGCCCAGTACACTTCCTCCATAATGAAATTATGATGAAATTATGATAAATTTATGATGAAACACAAGACAAACAACTTCCTTATACATGAAGGTTTACAAACATATTGAGACCATCAAGTCCGTAGATGCAAGTCGTTTTTTCTTTAAAAATCAAATGCTGATGAATATCAGATAAATATAAGTGTATAAATGCAAGAAAATAAAATATAAAATATACAGAAAAACAATCTTGAAAAAGAAAGAAAAAGAATGAGCTATAAAAAGTGTGTAATAAACGAGAATGTATATTGACCATGAATTTAAGTGCAAAAAGTGCTAATTTGAATGCTACAAAAAGAATAATGATTTAGAATGCTATAACTTTACCGTCGCAATACCAAAAAAATCGTGTTGCGCCAAATCGAATTACCAAATAGCGAAAGAAGCACATTGTTCATTAATTTGAATGAAACATTCATAGATTCTAACGAAAAATTCATAGATTTGAACACTTAGAATAATACAGAGACGGCGCTCCCGGTGGGGGGGGGGGGGCAGGGGGCATAGTGCTCAAACTTTTTCAAGCACCTCAAAGTGCCCCTTTTTACATAGGAAAGTGCCCCTTTGACTAGTGCCCCTATTACTTTGTAAAAGCACCCCTTCCCCTTTTCATCTCTGATAAGTGCCCCTTTTATTTGAATACGTGCCCCTTTTATTAGTATTACTATTATTATTATTAAGTGCCCCTTTTATGTTCGAGAAGTGCCCCTTCTCACTTTTGATAAGTGCCCCTATATAACCTCTGATTATTGCTCTATTCAAATCTGAGAGAAGCTCGTTCTATACTTTGACAAGTGCCTCTTCTCCTTCTGATAAGTCTTTTCATCTCTGATGAGTGCCCCTTTTCAACTCTAATAAATGCCCCTTTCATTTTAACTTGTACCCTTTATTCTTTTTCATAAGAGCCACTTCCCCCTTCTTTCACCTCTGATAAATGCCCCTATTAAGATTTGATCGGTGCCCCTTTTCTTAATTTGCCGGGGCTGCCGTCCCTTTGCGGGCATGGCTAAAATCACGACTCCAATTTCGACCAATCAGATGACTAGATTTATTCAATATACTTGGTAGGCCTAGTTTTTTCTTCTAAAGAGAGGTATATAATTATAATCATTATTATGGCGTCAAATTGAAAGGTAACTGCGAGACTATAAACTTTTTATATATTTTTTTATTAATGCACTCGTAGGCTAAAAACAAGGGAGTTTGTAAAATATAAATTATTTTTGTCAACACAATTATATGGGCGATGTCCTCAGATTGTAATTTATATAATCATGCACAAACTATCAAATAGTATACACACAATAAAATTTAAAAGAAAAATAGAGACGGGTCGAAAGGGGACATATTTGCTCCCCTTTTTGTAATTGTTTGTCTTTGATCTTGAATCGAGGCTAGACTATTAATCTACTCAGATGATTAACCAAAACTACAAAAGAAAAGCTGTAAAAATTGGTAATATAGACTTAGAAAAGCACATATATTACTGATTATATGACAGATACGTAGTGATAATTCCTATTCATTGAAAGTGTCGTATTCCTTTTGGAAATGAAGAAAATATAGGGCAAAGTAAAGTGTAGGTCTACGGCATTAGATTTTGGTGGTAACTTGTGGTCCCGTCTATCTCTTTCCATGTGTGTAATCCATTGGTTCATTTTCAACTCTGGTGCGAGATCCGCGGTGCCAGGCACTCCAGCAAAGCATAGAGAGTCAGTGTTAATTAATGCGTATTGACCTCTAGCGCTGTATACTTGCTGAGAGGCAGGTATAACACACAATACACACACTGCGCACAATTCCACGCTAATGCACACGATGAAAACGAAGTGGCTAATCGGCAAGTTTGACAGTCGACTCACGATTTGAATTTTCAAAATTTTCTTTCTAACTTGGGTCTAGACTCTAGGGTCTAAGTTGAAAAGATTGTATTTTACTGCTATTTGGGATTAGGTCTAAGTTAGTCTATATGTGTCATCAATTGTCACTACAGTACTGATTTTGAGTTTGAAATAGACCTCTAAATCTGACAAATAATAAGAAAGTTATGAATGTTTAATATGAGATCACTAGTTACAAAGTCTGTAAGGTCTAGACTATGTGAATCAAAAGGACCTGAATAAAAACCACCAAAAAAAAAATCATATTTATAATACATGTTCAGAATGATTAGCCATTTTAATCAATTAATGCTCATATTTTCCATCTTTGTCAGCAGCAGGCTTGCCATGGCATGTGCACCAGACATGTACAGGGACAGTGTAATAGAAACACTTCAGTTCCCAGATGTGGAGAAGAGAACACCCCCCTTTTTAAACGCTGGAGACTGGACGGTTTCTCCAATAACGGCTTCTTTAGAGGGATCCACAATGTGTATCTTATGTCAAAGGGAATATGAACTATTGTCCACCATGGATGCATTTCATCAACATCTTCTAGAAGATCATCAACTCATTATACATGATCCCCACCTTATCTGTGATCTTCAAAGGTAATCTTTTTTAATTTTTAAGTACCGGTACACATAATTATGTTCAATTGTCATGCCCTCGATTTTTAATTCAGATATTAATTTAAGAAAAAGAAGAAGGGAGCTCATAAACACATGATAATGTATACAATATTTCATGTGTGCTAAGAATCATCACATTTGTAATTTGTTGACTTCTTTTAAGAGTTTTGTCCTTGGTGAGAAATGTTCATATGTGCCCTAATAATATTAAAGGTGATTTTTAATTTGTCTTCATTCAAGTGTTTTGTCATTGATTATGTATTCCATTCATTCATGTATTTTGAGTATGATTAAAAATTATTAAAACAGCTGGTAAATGATTATTCGAAGGTGCGGATGTTAAACAAATACACATGGCACCTTTTTAAATCAGCTACAGGTAGGCTCTTTCTGCAACTGATTCTTTTTCTTTAGGTATACACTCCTTGGGAACTGGAACTATTTGCATTTGAATCGAGCCCATAGATTTAATGAGCGTCTTTCAAGGCAGTTTAAATTAATATATTAATATTTTGTTCTTGATATCCAGGTACATTGAATACTGGAGGGAGAGGTTTTCTAGAGAAGATTACATGCATATATGCACCATCCATCGAAAATCAGGTAATTAATTGATTATTATATTAATTAAAAGAATAGAACTAGAAAAATGTTAACACTTGTACTTGAAATATGAGGTAAATCAATGACATTGAATTAAATTTTAGAAATACAAATAGGTGGTTCTCATCTTCTGTGACATAGTTAACTGCAAAATTCTCTTTGTTTCTTTATATAGACACAGATGTGCAATACAGACTTGACTCATCATTGGATGAAGATTGTCAGATTCGTGAGTACCTGCAACGTAAACGTCTAGACGCAGTCCTGGCCGTCCAGCAGGAAGAACGAGATGACACCTCCCTCTCCAGATCTTGCCTCTTCTGTCGGGAATCCTTCACAGGAAACCGAGCCGACCTGTTCAATCACATGGCTTTCAATCACAGCTTTAATGTAGGCCAGCCAGACAATATAGGTTTGTTGATGGTTGTTTAACACATTTGAACTGAGAGAACAAGCAATATCTTGCAGGTCTTATAATTACCTGATTTAAATCGGTTTCCCAATTTTTTTCCAGATTTTTTTTTTTCCATCTATTTTTCTCCTGACTTTTTTTTAAATATTTTTTTTTATTCTTCTCAATTTTACCCCTATTTTCCTGATTTTGCCCTTATTTTCCCTTGCTTTCCTGATTTTTTCAAAATGTTCTTACTCAAATTGGGGGGAATGTCATTCAATAGATGCCATTAATTCCCCCGAAACTTTTTTTTTTTTTACTCAAGGGGGGTGTGGTTGAAAAAAAATTAAAAATTTGGTGCTTGCTATCACCCCAGTATCTTGTGATATTTGTGTCTTTAGAGTTTAGACGTTGAATTTTATTTAACTTATACTGATTATTAAAAAGTGGAGCTACATGTACATACAAGAATCTCCTCCTTACCATTGTCAGTACCATTAAAGATTTCTTAAAAATTGTAATCCAGTATTCATTACATTCCCAAATACATGTCTTTTGAACCCTCCATGTTTTGGTACCAAAATTACTGTTTCTGACCAAAATCTGGTTACAGTAAGCTCTTTTTTTTAAAGAAGTATGGAGAAAAAACAAATTGCGTTTATAGCAAGACTCTGGAAGTAATACTACAATGTTCACTTTTCTTGAGCAAGATGACCAATTGCACCTCAACTCCCTTAGTAAATCACAGTGGAAGAGGTCATTGATTTTAAACTTGACTGAATTTGGTATCATTGCAATCAAAAAATTACTCTGAGTAAACTTATTACATTTGTGTAACTTGTAAATTCGAGCAAAAATTATAAAAGTGGATTAAACTTGACGAAAAATCAACCCACTCAAGACCCTGAAAACATTGTAATTCAGCTTATTTTTTCAGTGACGTCACAATATGAACGATAGTGAGGGCTTAAAAGGTACTTTACTCATTTTGTAAATGTTCTCAGCAATCTTTAGAGGTATAATTTGCCTATTTTCCATATTTCAATGAACCTTCTCTTTAAAGAGGATATGATTTTCTTAAGCTGGTAATCAAATGAAAGGGTCCTCGAGTATCCCTAGAGGTGAACAAAAGCAAGGATGTTCTGCCTTTAAATGTTCCCATTGTCAAGTTTTTAATCCTGTCTTTGTATATTCTCTATCAGCCTGTAATCCTCACATTCCATTAGCCATGCTGCAACTAACTGATACTTGATTACTTGTGTGACTATGGCTTATGAGTGTTTTGAAGCAAACTCAACACATTATTTCCTCATAATTTCATTGTTAAAGTATAATACATGTTACTAAATTGTAAGCATCTCTATAAGTTTGTTATTTTCATTTTCTCTTTCTTTCAGTGTTTGCCAATGAATTCCTTGATCTTCTTGAAAGAACATTAGAAAAGTGAGTCAGCTTGACATGTTCTACATCACTCTTTTTTCCAAGCCTCTTACTTGACCAACCATTATACTGTTGTCCCACTTAATGTGGGGAATTTAGTGACATAATGAATGAATAACAATGAATGAAATTCAAATTCAAGATGAAAAATATGTTATTTACTTCTCCGGGTCATGATTACAAATCATCTAAAATTGATCATACTGGAAGTTTTATTGTGGAGAAGATTTAGACACTTTCATATTTCTCTATAAGAAATGCAAGTTCCAATTGTGATAAAAAGAGGATGCACCCTAGAAACTGAATCATTAGATTCTAAGCTGTTGAAGGACTCTTTGATATGAGCTCATGTATTGTTCAGGGGAAATGATTTTATTTCTGGTATAGCAAAGATTTCCTTAGTATTTAGCCCAAGATTTCTTAGACATATCCAACAAATTAAATGACGGCACCTGGAAACCTGCACGCAGATATGACTTTAAATTATTTCCAATCCTTTTCAATATCAAGAAATGAATGTATTCCTCATAAAACTGCAGTGTTCCTGCCTACACTTTAAATTTGTTTTAATGTCAATTCCATGTTCTTGTCTTCAGCCTGCAGTGTCTTTATTGCGAGAAGATCTTTAGGGACAAAACGGCGCTCAAGGATCACATGCGTAAGAAGCAGCATCGACGTCTCAACCCAAACAACAAGGGTTTTGATAGATTCTACATCATCAACTACCTGGAAGCGGGCAAAGACTGGCAGACGGTTCAAGCTGAGAAGGATGTGGTGATCAGGTCAACAGACTCGGGAGATGAAGAGTGAGTTAATAAAGTACAACACAACCTTGAAATTTAGACCATGTATAAAATGGTTATTTAAAGTTATTTTACAAATAACCTTGTTTTATGTATGAGTTTATCGAGCAGGGATTCTGAAACTTTTCTTTGACGGTCCAGATGTGATTTCTATGAAAGCTGTAAGGTCCAAAACATGCACAGGGATGCCATTCGCTTGAAAATTCTAAGATGGACGATCGTATACTTCAACTTAAGTAGAATCATGTACAATATGATTGGAAAGACAACTACTCAAAATTACTGTAAGCAGATAACTTGGACGAGGAATACAAGAGTTTACAAGAAAAGCCACAGAAATAGTGACATTTAAGGAGTTTCTGCTGCGAGGTTAGTGCACATGTACTGTTTATGTTGAGTATGAGGCTAGAATCCACTCAACTGCCCTCTATGGTTAAAAGCAGTATAACAATGGATTCAAGCATAGTGATTAGATATGTGCAGCAGGCCCCTACATAAAACTCACACACTCTCCTAAGGACAATTTTATACAACAAAAGGTTGTCTTGGGAACCACTAATATCTGTACGGATGGGTTGCAGGTGGAGAGCCTTTGCTGGGAGTCTAGGGGGCGGTACCCCAGGAAGATATATTTTTTTTTTTTAATTTAGAAATTTCCACATTAAAATTCAAATAGCCCCTTTCATTTCATTTTAGAAATAACAGACAATTTTATAGAACTTTTTTTTGTATTGTACCTTCGTCCACATTCTTCTCAGGCACATGTCGAGCCAACTCATCGGAAATGTAATCTGTAAGTGTAAATTTAAGTTTCATGTTCTTCCTTTTCCCCTCTCTCTCTCTCTCTCTTTCTTACTCTTCTTCCCCCCCCCCCCCCCCCACCCTCCATCTTGTTCCCTTTTACATTATTTTCTTTTTTTTCTCATTTTTCCTTCCATCGTTCTCTCTTTTTCCCATTTCCATTATTTAGGCTGCCAAAAAAGGAGGGTTGTGGCTGATTCGCCGCCCCTCCTCAATCAGCCAGTAATTTATACGTTGGTGCAGGCAATTTGCATAATCTGCGATGGGATTTGGTTTCCATCCTATCTAATAGGTTGCCGACCTGTTACTCAGAGCATTTTTTTGAAAATTAGTACATTTCTTCTTTTTTCCTCTTCTCTATCTTTTTCCTTTTCCTCCTTTCTCTTTTTACCTTTTCTGTTTCTTTTATTCCCCCTTTACTTTTTTAGGCCGCCATAAAAAAGGGGACCGTGGCTGATTCGGCCCTCACCTGGGTCCCCCACTGTCTCTAAAGCGTGACAAATAAAATGATGAAATAGTGGAAAATGTTTGCTTTTCAGCATTTCTTTCATTCCTTTTTATTTTTTAATTTTTCTTTAAATTTCCTTTCAAATTCCTTTACTCTTCCAAATTCTGTATTTTCCTTAAAATAAGGCAATTGGAGACACTGCCGGTCCGGACTTCGAGAAGCCCTGATATGAATGGAACCCTTAACCTTGAAATGATACTGCATGTATAGATAGTCATTTCAAGGATATTATGGTAGTTTGTAAGGGAAAGATCAACAAAATAAGAAGAAGAAAAGAAAGAAAAGATTTTGGTTTTATATTTTAAGCATTGGGTTGAATACTTGCCCTTCATTAATATAGCATTTCATCATTTACTCCAGTCCATTTGATATATGATGATAAGTGATTGAAACTGAATTGTTAATATCGAAATAGATATGATCAATTTGATATTTCCTAAAGAGTCCGATCTAAAAACACACACCATAGGATAGAATAAAGATTAAACAGTCAAATCTCTTCCTTAAAAGTTACAGCAGCAGTTTACAAGTACATGTAGTAAGTGTAAGACATTGCTAAGCTGGTATCAGTTTGCATATAGTGGCTTGTAACTGGGACAGAGATGATTACCACTCAGGACTTTTGTTGAATTATGAGCCTCTACTGAGGCCTTTAATTAGTAGGGCAATATCATTCTAGACAGGATGACAGGATTATAGCACTCTCTAGTGCCCAATATAGTGAGGCCAGGTTTATAACAGGCAATTCATCTGTCTTCACCCATCAGGCACGATAGATGAACTACCCTTCAAAATCTCATTCTCAAAGGAATTTGGGGGCTTTTTTTTCCAGCTAAACCAATCCAGTTTTATACATGTATATTGAGCTGAATATTGCCCAAAACAACCACAAAACAAATAAATGAAGTTACTAAAGCTTGAAATAAATATAAGATACAATTAAAAAGAGGTGTTTTCTATTAAATCAGATGAGACTAATGAAAGGGACTTTTTCTTTCTTAAAATGCTTAATGTTTGTCTTTTTGCTTGCATTATATTCAATTCATATTGCAAGCATGTTATGAAAAATGTGCAATTTCCACCTCTTCCATATTCTCTGGCAAGAAAATTAACACTTAACAAATGCCTCCTTTGTGGAAGCAGTGCTGGCAATATATCACCCTCAGGATTGACAATATGGCCACATTTACCATGAGCTTCAAGTGATAAGTGCCCTTTTATTGTAGGACTTGTATTCTGAGAATATACATGTACATGTAGATCATTTGGGGATCTTACACCATATTGCAGCTGCAGGAATCATCATACACTATACAGGTGTATTAAATTTACCCATTCCAGAGTTTGCAATATATTTCCTGGGATGTTTTGTGCAACGGTTTATTAGGAGGTTATCAAGGTTAATTTTTATTCCTGACTGAATCTAATTCCCGAAGTTTGGTTTGGTAATATGAATTTAAATTCATCCAATTTCTTTAAAGCAAAAGTCAAATATTGAGTTGACTTGAAATTAGAACATGAGAACTAGCTCAGTGACAAGTTTTTGAGAAATTTAGTAGGAGATATAAATTAATAACAAAAGTTGTGAAGTTTTAAATACATGTATGAGATGAAACAGAAATTTAAACTCTTTTATTTCCCTTGCAAGCAGCTCTGTTTGTTTTGTACTACAAATTTCAAAAAATTCTTCTTTTTATTTCTGAAGAAAATTTGTTATCATATATGTTCCCTAGATCGATGTTATTTGAAATACGTTTTTACACACAGGTGGATATTTAGTTCTCAGTACAGAGCAAATAGAGAGCTGCTTGCAAGCTAGATCGTGGAGTCAACTATTTGTATTTGATTGGCAACAACTTTGTAAACTTCTTAGCTTTCTCATTCACCTACATATTTTACCTCAACTTTTTTTAATCTTCTAATTATCTGATTTTTCTGTTTTAATTAAAACCAATGTGAGTGTTAGCCCATTGCCTAGGGGAACCCCAGGTACATGTACCGTGTGAGTAAAACAAAAGTTTACACCTAGAAAATTGCTTATTATTTTAAAAATCATCTTTGAACAGTAAATGTTTATACATCTTATGAAAGAGTGTTTTATCCCAAATCATTTGGTATCATTTTTGTGTGGTATGTGTTCACGCTCGGATCAACAGGAGGCCTTGTTTGCGTGAGTGCAAAAATCGATTTGCGCCAAAGTTGCTTATTGTGATGTTTGAATAAAACGATTGGGATTTGGGTTTTGATTTGGTCTTTGCAGATCCAAATAACATCCCTAACAAACTTAATCATGCCACACATATCAAATATCGAATATTAACAAACATTTGTGCGCGTGTGTGTGCGTGTGTGTGTGTGACTTTGCTTCTGCAAAAAGCATATGCAATGCATTTCATTTGATACATTCAATTCATTCCCTCACTTTGGGATAAAATACTCTTTCATAAGATGTATAATAATTTACTGTTCATAGACGATTTTTAAAATAATTAGCAATTTTCTAGGTGTAAACTTTTTTTTGACTCACACCGTAGTTCAGTATCATGATTCAGTAATCAACATGCTTTCTGTTTGCCTTCTCTTTGATTGTCTCATAGGAGCTGGGATGATTGGGAGGCAGACTTCCATACCAACCTTGTATGTCTCTTCTGTAAGCACAGTGCATCAATGGTTGAAGATCTCCTAGGGCACATGGTACACATGCATCACTTTGATCTCCAGAAGTTCAGGCAAGAAAATGGTAATGGCTTTGGTTTACTGCTTTTTCCATCCTTATTTCTTCTCCCTTTTTTCTCTTTCTTTGATTTTGCAAACAAATTTCACTTTCTCTTCAAATTTTCATGTACTCTAATATCGTATTGTTAATGTTGTACTATTTTGATTACAATTAAAGTGGCAGTCCACGCTGGAATTCAGTTTGTTGCGATAAAAGCAGAAATATGGGTGGAACTGGTCAGTGAAAGTTTAAGCAAACTCTCATAAGTAATAAGAAAGTTATGATTTTTGAAGCTATAATCAATCAAATATAAATTAACAATGCTGTGCCGCTTCTGACGAAGTTCTTTCTCATTTGCTCTGTACAGAAAATTTAATAAATTTCCCATTTCTGCAGGAATAGAATCGTTTTATATAAGAGTTGTGTAAAATCATATGTGCAACCTATGATGCATGCATGATTGAAAACTTTACTTAGAGAACTTTTTTTTTTTCTATTTTTTTTAGTACAGAGCAAATCGGAGAGAGCTATAAAGATATGTCACAGAGTTGCCAATTTGTGTTTGATTGATTGCAACTACAAAAATAAATAACTTTCATATTTTTTTTTAGATTTTTCAGATTTTGCTCAAACTTTCACTGATCTGTTATTCTCATTTTCTGCTTCCGGTAAATTTAGAAAAAGAGAATAGATATAGACTGTATTATAGAAATTTAGATCATGTATCAGCTTATATGAGGTACTTCACAACAGTTGTGTTTCATTTCAATCATTCATCAAATACCGGTAGTGTTGTTACAGAATGACCAAAACCAATCTTCTTTGTCATTCCATAAGAGACCTATATCAATTTAATATTTCGTAAATGTAATGAATGGTCGAGAGGAAACCCAAATGTTGTGAAAGTACATGTACCTCATATTAGTTAATGTCTTAATGTCATTAATGTGTAGATTTTGGTTAAAATTTCTATAATATTCTCTACCTATTCACGATTAAAAATTCTCTGGAAATGTGTTTCTGTAACACATCGAAACCAACTTTTAAGATGGACTTCCCCTGTAAGACAATCCACTGGTTTGATAAAGCAGCATCTGTAAAAAAAGTTCAGCTTTAAAATTCTGCTTGTCAAGGGTTGGATAAGCTGAATAACTTAACCATTAAGATATTTATCCATTAGTACGGTAATCATTATTCTTGCTTCACTTACTACAAATCATTCATAAGGAAACAAAATGCGTTACTAATGAGGGGTGCAATAATGATTTTTTACGAGGTGTGAAATTCTGCATACCATTATTTCAATACGCTGTATTTATCTAAAGGCTTGTGATCGATGAGCTCACTCCCTGTGGGATGAAATGTCACCGTCAATTAACTCCGTTCATTACTTTTACTGGGTAGTGTACTCAAGTGTGAATTCTTCAAGGACTGCCCCAGAGTAAAGGTCTTTGACTGAGATCTTGTGGTGTTGATATAATCTACCCAATTACCGGACTTGTAGGAAATGGAGTTTCATAATAATGGGCCATTTGAGATTCACACAGAAGAGGAATAATTTAGGCTGCTCTTGTGTATTGTAAGGCTGTAAGCAGAAACAGTGATGCCAACACGTGTATGTGAACTTTGTCACTCAAACTACAGATAGTAGTTGTCTGTGTACACTAAAAATGTCCAGTATTTTTCACCCGTCTCACCAATGACCTGTAACTGACCTTTGCAGGAGCTATTACATGTAGTTTCATTGATATATTCATTTGTTGGTAATTTATGAAAATCAAATGCATATATTTATCAAGAAATAAACAGAGTTCTGTTCTTCCAGTCTTAGATACGTCATATTTGGAAATACACACATCTTGAATTAGACCCACCACTGTCAAATGATTCATTTTGTTTCATTTACAAGTCCCCTTTGAAATTGTTCGTACACCAGGTAGGAGAATAGTAAAATAACTTAATAAATAATTACTTCCATGCAACCTATTCTTTCATGCAAAGGGCTAAATGCTTCTTTTTGGTATGTCAGATCAAGTTTTTCTTGTGGTATTTCTCCATGATTGTTTTTTCACAATCATTACAACTGTCTAGTTGATGTGTGTTGATCAGCCTTTGTCTATTTTTTCATTTCAGCTCTGAATTTCTATGACCAAATCAAACTGGTCAATTTCATCCGGCGCTCTGTCCATCAGTCCATTTGTGTTTGCTGCCATCAGAGGTTTGAGAATGTAGATTGTCTTAGTGAGCATCTAGCGACTCATTCTGATCAGATGGCTGGAAGTCTAGATCGCAAGAAGTGGGATGAATCCCAGTAAGTTATTCCTTTTACCCAAAAATATTTGTACAATTGTGTTTGCAAATGTATGGTATTGCTTCAAACCCTACATCTAAACATATCTTCTTTTGCTACAAGTACATACGCTTACACTGCAAGAAACCTGCATGGTTTGTATATGGAAATCATATATCATTTAGGATCCTTTAGTAAGCCAGACCTGCCAACCAGTATGATGTAGTCGTATTTCGTACGATTTTTAGAAGCAAATACATTCTGTGCTGTAAAGTATCCTGCAAGCATCTCACATCAGCAATTTGGAGATGTTCAATGGTTCATCGAACACACCAGTCGTGACGAAATCAAGCATATTCAACCAATGATCAAAAAACAAATTCTTCCTGTATGTAGGAACTGTAAGAGGCATTGATCTGCGTAACAGTCCGTGTTTATTTTTAAGAATACAACTTTTGTCAGTAAAATACAACTTTGGGGATTAAAGAATTTTGTTTTTGAATTTCAGAGGTTGGCAGGTCTGGTAAGCAAATATTTTAGGTACCGGTATTCCAAGGTACATTTATACTTGTATCTGTATCACCAGTGAGAAATTCTTTCTTGTATGTCCCCCAAATCTGAAGTAAATGATGTGTCCCTTGGAAATCATGTATCATTTAGGATGCTTTTCAGTCAGCAAATGATTTAGGACTGTGTCTTTGTATTTTCTTCAAATAGATTCCTCTTCCCAACGTTCGAGAACGATGCTCTCCTGTGCTCCTTGGAGGATGTAACGGATGACGAGGAGGAGGAGACGACCAAACCTCACCAAGACACCACCAACGGGGTTCCCATCCTGGCTGAAGACCAACACAACCTCCGAGACAGCATCCTCGTCCAAGAAAGGGACATCCTAAAGACTCTTATAGACAATAGATGATAGGGTGATGTAGAAACCCCTTTGTCTACGACTACTGAACCCGCCATTGCTGGTACCCGAAACTATGCAATGGACTGGTAAAGATATGTGATACAATATTAAATTGCAGTTGATTTGAATCAATCATAGCTCTATATAAGACATGCTCCTGCACCCTGTTTGGCCCGATTTAAAAATGTTAAAACCCCCCGTTGAAAAAATACTGCGTACGCCACTGATCATGGTCATTAGCAAAATAGCAATCAGTTGCTATCTTATCTTATGTGTTAAGGGGCACAGATCTTAGCAGACTACATTTACAATCTTCTCATACAAGGGAATTAAATCATATATCATATATATCATTATATTAAGTGATGTTTATAATTAAAAGTGCAATGAAATACTTAACATTTGGGATAAATATTGCATTAGCTTTAAATGCTCAGTCAGTAGTCTTACGGTATATCAGTTTTACATGTACGGTATACTATTTCAAAAAGGCTCATAAATGCTTGTGAAGAGAAAACTCACCCATAATACATTCATTAAAGATATGTTTCAATGCATCCCTGTGAATATGTATCCAATATTGGATGGCTTTGAGTGTGATACAAGAAAGTATTGCCCAAGCTATGACAAAATTGAACAAGTCCAATATTGTCATAGCAAGAGCAATATATTCTTGTATCACACAAAAACAAAGCCATATAATAGTAATATCTATATCAGGCCGACTAAGCGAAATAACAAAATTTGACTTACGTCAGTAAATATTTTGTTTGTAGTAAATATGGCTTCGTTTTCGGGTGCTATCGATAGTTGAAGTTCCTGGATGACTGAGCAATACAAAAACAATATTGGTCAGTCATCCAGGTACTGTGCTAAAGATATTGAATACACTTGATTTATTGTACCACTTGAAAGCCTTATATAGATAATTGCAAATAGTGTGTACACACATGGATCTGTATTTTAGAATTGCATATACAGGTACATGCATCACATCAAAATGTGCATGTGGGACTTTGGTGGGTTTCAGATTTAAGGTAAAAAATAAACAACAAGAAAGTACAAAGAAGTGGGACCTGCAAATTACCTATGGTTTATGTTTCTCATATCAGTGTTCTATTCACGAGGTACAATTTTGCTTGTACACAGCTTACATTTAGAAGAATACTGCCAGTAATCGTATTTGGTATAATCAACACAAGATGGAGTACCGGTAGTGGTTTTAAATGACAATACCGGTATGGCAATTTAATTTGGGAGTAAAATTAACTTTGTGAATGGGTAGTTTTTCTCACCATGTAGTAAATAAGAGGTCTCTTGCTTTTTGAGCGTATTGTTCTTTGATTTATTTTCACAATGTGAAAGGGTTATATTTTTTCTTTAATAAATGATCATGTGGTATATTATTAGTCATTGTGTTAAACCTTGTTGTGTAAGTGCATTGACCCATCTCCCAACAATGAAGCTAATTAATTCAATGACAAGGACATGTATTATTGTTATGGTGTATAATGTGGAATGAAAGTTTGTTGACCTACTTTTCTAGAGAGTGGACTGCTGCCACACCCCCCTGAATAAACGCCCACACAAGGAAAAATTTGTGGACACCACACCACAATGAATGGAATATTGGAAACCCCAATTACAGCAAGCATAAGAACAGATTTAAGTCAGTGGTTGAATGATGAGGGGGTGGGACTAATGTAAAAAACAGATTGAAGATAATGCAGGTCAATAGATGTAAACTTTATTTTCTGATTCCAAACGAGTCCTCTTATCAACTTCATCTTGATCCATGTTTTTACCTGCAGCATTCAAAGTACTTGGGTTGTTTACTACTTGTACTTCCTGTTTTGATTCTACGAAAATCGTAGTCGATTCTTATCTTATATTTTGTGTTGGGAATACATGTATTTATTGGTGTATGGCTTTGAAAGCTAATCCCAAGACCTTGTATTGAAACTGCATCACAAGAGAAAGTGGCTTGAAAAAAAAACCCATTAAGGCTTGTTCACATTGTCATGGTAAATCACTGTGGTTCATAGGATCCGTTAAAGCGCACTCACACTTACTATCCTAATTCACATCCCTGAACACACAGATGACTCATAAACGAGTATGTGCAGGACTTATGTTGCACCCAGCTACTGCTTTTCATCCATGCTTGCTATTTGTTAAGTACACACACAAACACAAACCACTGCGATTAATTGTAGGAGGGTGGTTCTGACTAACAAGATGTGAATAAAGTTGAATGGAAATCCAACCTTGGTAGCAATCTACTCTAGAGGAAAGCAAAAAAATCAGAGGAATAAACTGGTGAAAGTTTGAATGAATCAGACAAAAGCTTTAGAAAGTTTTGAAATATGTAATCACTTTTGGTATGTACTCTTCAAATTGACTGAATAGTGAATCATTAACGTTGTTGTTTCAACACAAAAACTTATAAACTTATAATTTCAGTTTTTCAAAAAAATGCATGGCTCAGGAGGGTCTATTCTCTTTAGAGGGGGCCTATAATAATATACATAGTGCTCTTACTTTTTTGTAGGCATTTAGGAGAAAATTACAAAATAATTATATTTTTGTACATGGCAAACGAATGAGGTATCCATGACTATGTCACAATCCACTAACCAAACTGCCAATTTGAGATCATATAGACCTACAGTGATTTCATATTTCAAACATTTGTAACTTTCTTTTTATCAGTCCGATTTATTTCAAACTTGCCATTCATGATTATGTTAATCTTATTTTCTTGATTTCAGACAAATTAAGTTTTTACAAGGGTTGGATTTCCCTTTATTTGAACTTCCAAGAAGTCACATTTGGAAAGGCACAATAAGCAGAACACATGTTCTAGTGCTTGACATGCAGTGAGGGTGACTAATCATTTCCACATCTTTTTTCGCTCATTTTGAGCTAAATGTAATTTGTATTTCTGTTGAATTCATTTAGGAGATATCACCTACTTGTACATCATGTATTTTGTAGTCTTGAACATGCAGTATTTCAATTCTACCAACATTTTGATCAAGTTACAACCAGAACTTACTACATTCTATGAATGTTGTATCACGTTTTTAGATAATGGTTGTTTATTTTCAAGATATAGATTTAACAATTATAAATACTAGTAAAGTAAACAATAAACATGAAAATAAAAACTGAAAAATTTTGTCTGTATGTATATTTCAGTATATCTACATTAAACAAGTCAAAACACACAGCATAGCATCCCCTTACCGGATACAAATGGCCTGTAATTAGCAATTTTTTGCCTATTCAATGAGCTATGACCTTTGACCTGTATTTCGATACCATTTACCTTCATATCAAATTTCACTAAAAATCTGTCAAACACTACTAAAGTGATTTAAAAAACGGAAACCAAATTTTTGAATAACGGTATCAGCTTTTTCTGGCACATTAAATGAGCTATGACCTTTGACCTACATAATCTGAAATCAAATTTAGACTGCATTTTTAACCCATGTACCGTAATATCAAATTTCATTAAAATCTGTTAAACATTGTAAAGTGGTCGAACGGAAACCAAATTTTCGAATAATTAACTTTTTTTGGGCATATTTAATGAAATATGACCTTTGACCTACATATTCTGAAATCAAATTTCGGCTGTATTTTGATACCATGTACATTCATATCAAATTTAATTAAAACATTACTAAAATTATCAAATGAAAACCAGATTTGTAATGGACGGACGGCAGCATTACTACATGTATATTCCCTCAGACTTCCTAGGCAAGAGGATAATAAACGTGTTACAAATGAGTAAATGTGTGTGAAAGATACTTTACGTGATGAGTGACAAATGACAATAGCGTTATATTTTTTTAAATTTCCTTCATTTTTTATGTTGGTGGTATATGGTAGAAATTTTAAAGGGAAACAAAATCCACTCTGCATCAAAGTTTGTTTTCACAAAAGCATATAATGAGGAGATCAGTCAGGATAAGAAAGCCACGACTTAAAATAGTGTAATAAATCAATGCAAAATAACAACTTTTTCATTAACATTTACAGCAGTGGCGACAGTAGCCTGCAGGCACAGAGTCACAGACTGTAATGTGATACTTTACCAGTTAACGGTACCAACATTATAAGCCTTGAGCACAGCCTACATGTACAATGTACTGTACACCAGGGGGGTGTTTCACAAAGATCCTAAGTTGAACTTATCTCTAAGTTGGACTTAAAAAATATGGAAAGCCATTAGCATCTTTGAAAATATTTTGTAAAAGTTATTTTGAAAGGCATTCATTGTTTATTGAAATCATTCATATTTTCTATCATCAAGGAGATTTCATGTTCTGGATGTGGAATTAATAAAAAGTCTAAAATACTTGAATTTCTGCTTTTTAATATATTTCATTTAAAGACTCAAATGGCTGTCCATAATTTTTAAGTCCAACTTAGAGTTAAGTTCTACTTCGGATCTTTGTGAAACACCCCCCAGGTGCGGATTCAGCTGGCGGCAGGGAAGGGGGCCCCATTTGTGACAAAACAGCCGGCCGAAAATTTGCTCAGTGGTGGGGGGGAACTTGAAAATATGAAAAATTACATCCCCCCTGAGCACCAGGGAAGGGGGCCCATCTAAAAAAAAAGTAAAATTAATGTGTTAATCTGCCACTGATGTACACATAGCTTTGTCAGTCTCTAACCTACATGTGTGGTATGCAGTAGACCGTGCAGTCAGTGTTATGCCCCGTTGACACTTGCCCGCATTATGGTTTGCGCATAGTTTGCGCATTGACACATACTCTTGCGTACCAATGCGGGAAGTCTTCGTGGTAGAGTGGGGCCGTACGTGAAATGCGTGACAAAAATTTCAAAATGTTCAAAATTTTGGCACGGCAATTTTGTTTGGCAACTTTCATGTACTATGTGCACCCTTTGCGCCATCTAGTCGTGCCAGTGCGCGCTGATGCGTGTCCATTGGCCTAGTGGTACGCATGTTCACGACTAGTTAACAACTAATTTGCTCAAAATTTGCGCATTGGCTGCGCATAATTCTCGCGCAGTTTTCGCATGCCATGCGCATAGTCTACGAATACGTGTCCTGGTGGTTACGCATTGCGTGAACTATCCGTAAATTAGACGTGACCCTGCGTGCTACTAATTGGCACGCATTGGCACGCCATAGAGCAGGGCAGTGCGGGACAAAAATGCGTGCAAGTGTCAATGAGGCATAACTCATGACTAACAAAGATTTGTGTCCGCAAAGTACATTTACCTTATAGCACTTATCCCATTTGTCATGTACAATGAATTTCATATTTTTTGGTTTACCACAGATTTTTTTCATTATATCTGGGCCAGGGATACTGGTGGGCAGGTCCAAGCTATTTGGATTGTGACGTACGGGACATTTAGAGACTTTAAACAAGAAATAACAGATGGTCCCGTACGTCACGCAGCACATTAATTACATTTAAAATTAATTAAAAAATTGGTCAGAACTAAAACTTTCCACAAATGAACTAGCCCATAATAGCCACAGACTCATACCAAAAGATAGCCATATAAATAATTTAATTACATTTAAAATTAATTAAAAAATTGGTCAGAACTAAAACTTTCCACAAATGAACTAGCCCATAATAGCCAGACTCATTCCAAAAGATAGCCATATAAATAATTTCATCTGTTGTTATTTCTTGTTTAAAGTCTCTAAATGTCCCGTACGTCACAATCCAAATAGCTTGGACCTGCCCTGGTACATGCACAGTATATTATTGGACATGTTTTCATATACAGTACATCCCCTATGATAAAGATAATACATGTACGTGTACCAGTCTTCTTCACCAAAAATCATGATGATGGACGGTGCACAGTACATTATGAAATTTTCAGTGAGAAAATGGGAGAGGTGCACAAAGGCTTCAGAATACATGTACAACATCTGGGCCCTATCTCATAAAGAGGTGTTATAAATCACAGCTTGTTTGCGATTGATATCGACCGCAACTATGTACATAAGAGATAGGAGAAATATTATGTCTGATATACACTCTCATCCTCAGCATTATCTTTCTCTACATGTATCTCTCACTTTGTCTCTCTTTCTCTGTCCCTCTCTCCCTTTCTCTCCCTCTGTCTTTCTCTATCTCACACTTTTCCTGGATCTCCTGTGCTGTCTGCACTATCACCCTCCCTACCTCTCTTCTATATATTTCCCTCCAACCCTATGATGATTGTGGAATGAAATTAGCACTTGTTAAGCGAATTTTGTGAATTTTATTAATTTGTATATATATGTGTACACTAGTTTATTTAGAAAATTTCATTAATATGCCTTAATACGATTTATGTTTGTATAAATATTTATGTTTTTACATTGTACAAAATTCTGCAATTCAGCCATCTAGCTGCAAATGATTTTTTTAATAAAACCATTACCACCAGGAGACTGCAAACTTGTGATTGATTCGGATCAATCGTTCGTTGCCCTTTAAAAAACAGGGCCCTGATGTTACAGAGTTGGTAGTTTGTGGTTAGTCCATTACAACTTTAAAATTAAATAATGAATACTTTCTTACTTTAATACATGTATAGTATACTAAATATCAGATTTTCCTCAAATAGGGCACTCATGTAGTATACTAAAAAAGAAAAAAAAAATGAGACCAACCAAAGTTTTGTTGTGCACATGTACTACTATATTTAATATTACATTTATCAGACAAAGGTGAGCATCCTTGTAGACAAAATTACATATTACATTATTTAAAAAATTGATGCCATTAAATCGTTTTCAGAGGTTTACAGGCTTCATAATGGTGGCAATAAAACATAAATACATAGAAATGTATACACTTGAATGTACATGATGTGATTTTTAAGTTCTTCTGTTAACAAAATAATAGAAATAATCTGTAGTCTTTGAGAGAGTTGGTCATTTACTCTATGCATATTTAGAAATTAAAAAATTGCCCTAATGATTTTCACCTTGTTCTTCCCAACATGACTATTTAACACTTTGTTTCTATAGCAATGTATACATGTATCTTGCATCATTGACATTTATGTACAGCTTAATTAAGGTAAATTCAGTTATCTACAATGAAAATCAGAAATGTAAATTTCTACAAGATCTTCTTAAATTCTGGTTGCAAAGCATCGACAAGAAAGTGACGACAAATCATCTGTATGAAGTACATAAAGTGTATAATCATAAAATCTTACATGTTTCTCTTTTTCTATCAGAAAGTCTATCAAAATCATAGAAGAAAATGGGTCCTGTACACTCTTGTTGGACAGCAATAACTGCCTTCTTTTTTAAGCAAAAGTTTCTTTGTGAAATTTACATAAATATAGGCATGTCCATTAAATTAAATTACATGTACTGTACAAATCTATTTTCCCACATTCTAATTTCAAAATCAGATTGGAAACTTAACACAATAAAAGCTTTCAACAATTTCATCAACAAATGTTTTGAATTTTTGATTATGATTATGAGATTGTCGCCAAAAATCACCAAATTAATAGCATTGTTATAACAACTTATTCTACACTTTACAAAATATACAAAACTATACATTCTCATGGATACACTGATCTGCAACCATTGTATTTTGAAGAAGAAAAAAAATGTATGATGACATAGTTTTGCCCCAATATGTACATTTATGTGGGTACAAAAGAAAATGACAATCATGGCACACTTATAATACCAAAATACAACATTCATAGCTGCTATCGGTTTTTCTTTAAAAAATATCTTCAAAACTGCCATTCTGATCGAGATTCCCACCACATCCTGTTTTTAAAGCTTCAGCAAAAAAGAAATTTAAAATAAATTTACCTCTCAGGAATGAACACTCCTAAAACATTTTTAGTTGTACCAGTATTTCAAATTTTCAGTAAAGTAAAGCAATCTTCTCCTATGCAATTATTAGGCCTGAATATTATACAAAAAAGCAAAACATGTATAAAAGGGAGTGAAGGTACATACATGTAGTGTCATCAGTATGGTACTTTGTATGCACTCATTTTGCCTCTTTATTCACAAACAAAATAGAACTAGATATGAATTGACTAACATTAAGAATATATATTAGGAAATTCAAATATGAAAGCATTACGCATCAAGATTTTCATGTATCATTTTTACAAGTTTTATCTTTTAGAGAAACTTTGTCAGACTACATGTAGTGTGCGAGGCATGCTCTTTCTCAGTTACGTTTGCATACATGTACCAATGACACTACATGTATGTTCTTACAAGCATTATATGATTAAACAATATTTATTATTTTAATGTTGATATCCAGTGATCAAGATACTGATCCTACAATACATGATGTCACAGCGCGATGATTGTAGATTGTAGTTGATGATTCCTCCGCAATAGAACGTTATAGAGTATCGATGGTCATGTGCAACACTGATGATGATGATTTATCCTCATGTCCTCAGAGATCCACTTTGAGCACAAACACAAGTTCACTTTTGATCCTCCAAGAATAAAAATGGCACCACTTTACACAATAAAATGCACAAATTCAAAATAAACACATTTCACTTAGTTCATCGCTAAAAGGTTCATGTTCCTCTTCAAAACAAATGAACAAAAAGCTTGATTTCCTTTGAGGGATCCTCCTTGTAAAGTTTTTTTTTCAAGAAACATCACAGCTTTGGTAAGTTGAAGCACTCCTCATGGTAAATAATGTAGCAAACACGATTGTTGACACACATTTGCGGTTTCTCCTAATAGGGTGGGATGAACAACAAAAATAACAGATTTGCACTCACTGTGATGTTCACTATGTATCAAACATGTTGCGGTCAACGAGCACATGATCTCCAGCACCTCAATATATCAAAATATAAATAACAACCGAAGAAACACATGGCAGGCAGCCATCCAATGGCACTGATTGGGGCACACACATAATTGATGGTATCTCCAAATAATATGTTTTGCATGCTTGGAGAAAAAGGAAAAAACTATTGCAGTAAACCACACATGGCTTGACAACTTTGATGTTCCTACAAAAACTAAATAATTATGGGATGTTTTTCAATTTGACTCCAAGATTTGTCTCTCCAAGAGCACAAACAAATTTGTAAAAGGTTGCGCTTATTTCCATGGGATCTCTAAAGTTAACCCAGTCATAATACAGGAACAGGATGCACTAATTCAGAGTAATTCATTTAGAGTAAAATTAAATTCGGGACGTTTGTCACAGTGAACGTTTTCACAATTTCATATCTGCACCGCCACATCAAAGTGTCAAAATCTAACATTTTCTGAAGTATTTCGCTTACTGTAATGCACAAGTGATCCAAACTTCACAGAAGCTACAAACTGTTTTCAATTATGCTCATTGGAGCCACTTTAAAACATCAAATTGTAAAGCTGCCACATACCATGGGATTCAAATTTGTGCACATCTCCGAATAACAAACCAAGTTGTATAGAACCACAAATATATCATTTCTTCATAGAAGATACAAAGGTTTTCATATGGTTCCACTCCCAATGGAAGTATATCAGGTAAATCACATCAGTGTAATAAAAACAATGCACCTACATCTTGCGGCTGGATGACTTTGTGTTGCCTCGAACAGCAACAATGCTTTTCTCATCGACGACACTTCCAGGTTGAAAACAAAATAACACAAATCACAGAAGCATCCTTCCACATGAACGTGCTGCTTCATCAATTAAAGTCGCTCTGTTATCCACATAAAAAAGAAAAGATGAAATTTTGCTAAATATCTTTGACTTACCTTTCAAATTCAGCTTGTTGATCATCTGGAGTGATGGGGATAGTTGTAATGGCAACACAATGCCTCAGCAATTAGAAGCATTTATCTCAGTAGGAGGATAATGGATGAGGAGCTTAAGAGTTCAGTGAAGGAGTGTGATGGATTTCTTATACAATTGAGCCCACAGGAATTAATCATTCCAGATTTTTATAAGTGCCTTTGATTGATGACAGGAGATGGTAAATGAGGAGCGTGCATTAGGGAGGGCAAGATTTGCAGAGTAACACGTGTTGTTGCAACTTGAAGGCCATTCTCATTCTTGTGAACCACTTGATCCGGTCATGAAGGCTTTAAAACATTTGCCTTGTTACACATTGAGGTGTAGAATTGTCTTTTTCAACATACTGGAAGAGCACAAATCCATGGCCAGGGCAGACCCACTTTTACATGTAAAACATGTTACAATGAGCTTACTTAGAGACAAACAATGCAACATTCCAACCTTTCTCAAGAAGTATGCTCATCCCGACATACTGTACATTCATTACAAAAGCTTACTGGTAGTTGTTTTTAGTTTTTACAGTATGTTACTGTTACATATAATTATGTTAAAATCCCATTTGGGATGATCGTATTACAATGCTCCAAATTCAATATTCATGTACGTACTAACAGACAATCTCATCAACATACAGTAACAGTGTTATTTTACATGTCAATGTAAAAATTATAAATACATTCAAGTGAAGTTGTTTATTACAAATAAAATGCAAGAAATTCAAAGAATTTCACCCAAAATAAGCATCACTAATACCAGAAACTATGCCAAATTTTACAAAGCATTTCAGCCACTACATGTAATACATTATTTGTTTACTCTAAAAGACACTAAAACATACATGTATGAGCATGGACTACAAAAAAGAACCAGCTACATAAAATGTAGTTCCCAAATTGAATAATTAACTTGTTTTTTTCATCTGCATTAATCCCTAAAACTATCACTTTTAACAACAGGACAAAAATTATCTTTAAAAAATATTAATAAAAAAAAAACACTTTGAATCCAGGAATTTAGGCTGCCCCCTTTACAATAATGACAACAAGATGATCCTCCTTGGAAGGATCAGGGCCTAGACCTGGAGCAATATCATGAAGGAACTTGTGACTGAATTCACATGGAGGGAAGGCATGGAGGACACCAACATTATCCTTGTTTTGCTCTCCACTCACTGGTAAGCTGATAACTCCTGCAGCTTTCTTCTGCTGAAGGTAAGTAACCAAGTTCACCAAGGCTCGTGGTTGGGTTCCAGATGGCAGAGTGTCAGAATCATCGCTCGTTCCAGTCATGGAAAGCAAAATCGCATGACCACTAGATCCAGCCTGGGAGATTCTTTTGGCAACTTCATCAAGCTTAGGTTGGTCCAAACGTAATCGTTGTGTGATCCTCAGGGCAGATTCATCACTTCCCAAGTTGTGCGGCAGCAGAGCTTCAGCAGTGTCTGCATCTCCTCCCACTAAGAACATGCGAGTAGCAAATGCACTGTTCTTCAAAACCAAATGACCTCTCCAGGACATTGACACGTAGTTGAGAAGATCGGACAGATTATCCAAGCTATCTGGGATTCTGGTGCGCCTACTACCACGCTTTCGACGCCGTTCCATAGGCTGGCTACCAAAATCCTGGTCAGACAAGTCACTACTGATGGATCGTTGATGGCGCACACGACCATCTGGTGAAGCATCCCAATCACGTGCATTTGAAGCATCTCTAGGTTTCCTTCGCTCAGGAGACCAATCACCACCAGGAGATCTTCGGCGCTTTGATGCCTTCACATTGCTTGGGGACCAGTCTTCCTTACCAGGTATATCATCAGGTGATCCATTTCGCCTCCTACGGTTATCACCTTTTTGCATCATTCTTCCAGGTTGGTCACTATCCCTGCGATTCCAGTTATCATTTTTGTATCTATTTCCAGATTGCCAGTTACCACGACTTCCATCATAACCTCCTCCACGGTCACCTCCTTGCCACTGATCTGGTCCATCACGAAAGGGTGGAGGCGAAATATCACGACCAATATCTCTGTCTTGGTTAAAGCGGTTAAAACCTCTGCCACCTGGGCCATCATCATTGTTAGATGGTCCTTGGTATGGCTTGAACTGCTTTTTTGTTGTCTGTAAGCCAGGTCCATGTTCAGCAAAATCCACTCTAAGTCGTTTGTCTGGTCCTCCCAATGGAACACCTCGCATGTGGCTGGCAGCTGCCTGAGCTGCTTCTACGGTTTCATACTGAATGTAAGCAAAGGAATCCCCTTTGATATAATCAATCTTGCGGATTGCTCCAAAGCGATCAAACTCCCTTTCCAGCACACCCAATGTGATCCATGGACCCAAGCCTCCTACCCAAAGACAATTTGTTGGAGATTGCTTGCCATATCCTGTCTTACACTGATTCCTCCCAATATACTGACCAGACATAGATATTATTGCCTTGTAAGCCATATCCAAATTTTCAAACTTCACAAAGGCAAAAGGATTTCCCTGACCTCGAGGTGGGTACTTGATGTCTATTTCTTCAACAAAACCATACCTCTCAAAATGCCTTCTTATTTCAGTTTCTTGGATTCCATCTTCCAAGTTACCACAAAACACTGTGCGTGTAGCCTTTGGGTCATCCTCTGGCAAAAATGTAGCATCACGGTCTCTATCACGACCTTGATTTTGCTGATACCCATCATTTCCATAGTTACGAGAATTTGACTCATAACGACTGAAATCTCTATCTCTTCCTCTGCCACCACCACTACTACCCATATCCTGCCTATTATTATAACTCTTTCCTTGCATTCCACCACGTCTTCCCTGAAAATCATTTTGTCTGTTACTATTCATGAAACCACCATCATGACCTTGCCCTTGATTATGATTTGTTTTATTCACAATAGCTACAATATGTAAAGGTCTTGCAAACAATGTAAGACGGTCTCCACGAGCTTGCATTGCATCTCTAGCTTGATCTGGAAGTCTAAACCTCACATAAGCAATCCGCTCATTTTTGGCTTGACTGAACACAACACGCACATTCACTTCACCATATTTCTTGAATTCATGGAAAAGAGCATCTCTAATTGCAGTATCAGAAACATGAGATGGAAAATTCGTGATTCTTAAACAATCAGGTTCTTTCCTCTGAAAACCATCATTTTGGAAGTTTTGAGGACGATCATAGTTTTGCGGGCGATCATAGTCGTCGCGGCCAGTACGCCTATCGCCTGTCCCACGCCTGGAGCCTTCGTCTCTATCCATGCTCCTCATTCGCCCTCCCATTTTTGCACCTCCCCTACCACCATCATACCTGTCACTCCCAGGGCTCATTCTATCTCGATCTGTCATTCTCTGCATTTCAGGACTATCCCTCATCCTCCTCATAGGTTTCCTACCCTGTTGGCGATCCATTTCCAGTGAATATCACAACTTTTCTAAAAGGCAACCTTCTTCCTGTTTCATGCTTTATCAAACAACACAAGCGAATATGGCCGCTTCTGCATCCGGGTACTTTTGAAGCGCAATGTATAGTCTTATCACCAGTCAATAGACAGGGAGCTTTTTTACTTACGCATTTTTTTTTGTCAGGAAGAAGGGGAGGGGGAGGATAATTATGGAAATATATGTGTGTATTTTATGCTAATATTGATTATGGTTGACTTCGTTGTATCTTTGCCATCATTTTTTAATGTACTTCTATTTATATGTAGAGCATAATTCAGTCTTGAAATAGAAATCACAATTAACATACAGAACTTTTGCTAACTTGTACTCAATGGGTCGAAAATGCAAAATCAAAATATTAATGTATGTACATGTACATGTATACAAAATTCACTATTTAAACTGATAAATATATTTTTAAAGAGAGATCAAGACATCCAAACTAGATTATTGTAAACCTAGCAGTCGATCCACTCCAAAAAATAACTTAATATCAATAGAAGTAGAAAAATCTTCAGCAAAAAAAGTTTGAGTAAAAACGGATAACCAATTAAAAAGTTATGAATTTGTAATGACATTAAAAACCTTGAAAATCACAAGACAAATTGGCAACTCACTCATTCGTCTGTGACGTCATTGCCTCACTACCCACTTATTGTTTTCTCTATATTGTTAATATAAATTTCAAATTTCCCCCTACAACCTCACACCAATGATCCAAATTATATAGCAATACGTTTGTGTGTGAATACACTATAGAGTAATTTTTTCAATTAAATAATAACAAAATTGAATGTTGATAAACTATTTATAAAAAATCAATTAGAATTCTATTATGAATAAACAATATTCAGAAAATAGTATCAAACTTCCTCAAAGTTCTTAAAAGATTTTGTGAAATGTCATGCACGCAATATGATACAAATCATTTAACCTGGTCACAGGCATCATGGGGAAATCAAGTGTTTTGGGATAAAAAGGGAAATTAATGGAATAAACATATAAAGCAAATGGTAAATAGTGAGACAATGACGTCACAAACTGAATACCAAATTGGCAATTTTTGTAGCGATTTCCTAAGTTCCAAATTCGTTCATACTTTTTAAAAAATACATAACTTCCTTATTAGTTTTCCGATTTTGCTCAAATCTTTTATGCTCTGTTTCTCTTGTTTTTGGCTGCATCTATTAAAAGCAAATTATTTTCGGAGTGGAGTCAGTGGACTTAGCTTTTATGATATTCCAATTAAATCACCTGGTCTGGTAACTCCTTCATTACTGGCAATGTGAGTAATAAATGTGTTTTCTTTATTTTTATTTAAAAACAATTGTGATTTCATATTCCTATAGTTTTCGCTTATGCCTGAGTATAACTTGTACTATGAAAGGCCAGCTTCCCTGTATATAGGGAGGCGTGTGTCGCAACAATAACACCACCAACAAAATACAATAATAATACATTAAAAAATATATAACAACTGTGGCAAAAGTTCTCGCCCACTGACTCCCAAGTTCATGGAAGGATGGGAGCAAGGCCGTTTCTGTCCCTGCACCTTTAAACAAACAAATATAATCTGTTTTCTGTCCCTGCATCTTCCCTAAGCATTAATTTTCTTACCTCATCCTTGTCACACTCTCCGCTCTTCAGATCAGAACATTCTACTCGCACCTAAACTTAAGTCTTTTTGAATAGTGTATTTTGATGGCGACGTGAGCTTTTGCAATGGCCTTCTTAAAGGACAAGTCCACTCCAAAAATAACTTACTTTCAATAAAAGCAGAAAAATCAGACAAACTAATCATGGGTGTCGATCCCGGGGGGGGGGGTGAGGGATATATCCCCCCCCCCCCAATATTTCAGGTGGGGGGATGGCCTGTACAATCACCCCCCCCCCCCCAATAATTCACCTAAGGAAAAAAAAATTAAGTTTACTCCTTTACTGTTTTTTTTTTTTTGGAGGGGGGGGGGGCGTTTGGGGGGGGGCAAAAATGCGTTTTGCCCCCCCCCCCCCCCCCCCACTTTTTTGACTGGGGGCAACTGTCATAAAAATTTATGATGAGAGCCCGATGAGAGTAGTTAATGGTTATTACTCGCAAGATGACCGTCAATATACACATTTTGTTATCTCATTTTCATAATACATACATATGTACGAGGTAAATGAGACAACCGTATATGAGACAAGAAGAAATTGAATTCTCGCTCATACGGCTTCATCAGGAATTGAGGAATTTATTCAATTTGTTCAAACAACAGCACCATAGAAATGCAGTGCGCCAAATGCAAAGACGCAACGTTAAAAAGCAACGAGCTAAATGTTAAGCGCGAAACGCAAAAGTAGCAATCTGCAACATCAGACAATCCTGGATAATGTAAATATAAATGAACTTTGTGACAAATTCGTGGTGAGATTGGAGACAAGGAGAAAGATTTTCGGACATTAGTATGACTTATAAGATAGTTCACTAGTTGTTATGTTGTTTCCGTTCACCCTTTTAAAATTCACGTCATGGTATCTTTATTTTTGTTTTTTTACTCATTTTATTTCCTGATATTTTCTAATTTTTTTTCATTTTTGGAGAACGAATATTATGTCACAACTTTTTTTTTAATTTTTATTGAAAAGCTGATGTAGGCCTATGTAACTGGCGTATTTCATACAAGTGATTTATAAATGTTTGTGATATCACATGATTTTCAACAAAATTCGCGTTTATCCATTTCTGTTGCAAACTGACACATTCCCAAATAGCAAGGAAGAGCATATATTTTGTATAGTCACTAATGGGCCTAATTAGTGGCCGTTAACACTAACAGTAGTATACAATTCCTTTCCAGAAGTTGCGACAAGCACTGCCGGGAGATAACATCTACCCACCATTAGGGCTGTGCATCCAAAGATTTGCAAACGAACGTTCCATAGTTACGTACATCATGTGGGCAAACTGAATTCAGACAAGGATTAATATAGAGAACAGTACAACGAATCGTCTTCTTTCTCTAATAATTTAGTGAAACAGCAAAGCTTTCGCGCATTGCGCGGGAGGGGGGCAACTTATAAGTTATAAGTTATAATTAAATGAAACGTCAAAGTAAACGATACAACGAATCATCTTCTTTTTCTTATAATTTAATAAAACGTGAAAGCTTCCGCGCTACGCGCGGGATGGGCGAAAATGATTTTAGACGTGGATTAAGAGTGATAATCAAATGAAACTTCAAAGCTTCCGCGCTTCGCGCGGGAGGGCGGGAGGGCGGGGGCGAATTGCACTCAGACAAGGACACGGTATAACGAATCGTCTTCCTTCTCTAATAATTTAATGAAACGGTAAAGCTTCCGCGCTTAGCGCTGGATGGGCGAAAATGAATACAGACAAGGATTAAGAGTAATAATTTATTGAAACGTCAAAGTTTCCGCGCTTTGCGCGGGAGGGCAGGGGCGAATTGCACTCAGACAAGGACACGGTACAACGAATCGTCTTCCTTCTCTAATAATTTAATGAAACGGTAAAGCTTCCGTGCTTAGCGCGAGAGGGCAGGGGCGAATTGCACTCAGACAAGGACACGGTACAACGAATCGTCTTCCTTCTCCAATAATTTATTGAAACGTCAAAGCTTCCGCGTTTCGCGCGGGAGGGGGGGGGGGGGAAACTGAATTCAGACAAGGATTAAGAGTCGAGAATGGTACATCGAATCGTCTTCTTTCTTTAATAATCAAATGCAACTTCAGAGCTTCTGCGCTACGCGCGGAGCTGGAAGGGGAACTTGTTCAAACATTAAGAGTTGAGAATGGTACATCGAATCGCCTTCTTTCTTTAATAATCTAATGAACCGTCAGAGCTTCCGCGTTACGCGCGGAGGAAGGGGAACTTGATTCAAACAAGGATTAAGGGTCGGGAACGGTCCAACGAATCGTCTTCTTTCTCTAATAAGTTAATGAAACGTCAAAGCTTCCGCGCTTCGCGGGGGAGGGGGGAAGCTCCCCCTTCCCTGCACCCAACCCCCTAGCTTAGCGTGCTCCCTAAAATGAAATCCTGGCTACGCCCTTGGGCATAGGCGCCGGAAGTGGGGGGGCAGGGGGGGCAGTTGCCCCCCCAGTCAAAAAAGTGGGGGGGGGCAAAACGCATTTTTGCCCCCCCAAAACGCCCCCCCCCCCTCCAAAAAAAAAAAAAAAAAGCAGTAAAGGAATAAACATGGTTTGTATTTTTAACCCAAAAGAACATAACAATAATAAAAACCTGAATTAAAGCACATATACCATTCCATTCAAAGAAAAGGAAAGTTCACAGGAATTAAATTTTTATAAACATTGCGCATGCTACCTATACGGTTTATAATAGCGATACGCGCATATCGTGGACATATTGTGCGAGAATGGGAAAACGTGTCTGTTTTTTTGGTTTTGTTATAGGGGTGAGAAGACATGAGCCCCTGAACGCTGGCGTACTGATGGGGGGGGGGGTATATCTATACGATACCAGTGATTTACACATGTTGCTGTTATGACATGATTTTCCGGTATTTTTTCTCCATTTTTTTTTAAGTCATACCTTTTTATGCGTTTGTTGGAAAATAAGAAATTCCCAAATTACAGTCGGGCGAAAAATACGCTTATTTAGAAGCCTTTATGACATGGTCTGCAAAGTGGCTGGGCTCGAGCCCCTCCCCCCTCACTTTTTGAAAAAGTATGTTAAAGAGAAAAAGAAAGAAAGACGGAGAGAAAAAATAAGTGACCTGCCAATGTCACAAATAAGGCATAAAAAATGCTCATCTGACCGTAATTAAATGCCTAAAACCCCAGAGCTTACGGGTGCTCCGCCCCCGGACCCCACCAAGGGCCCTAAGGCGGGCCCCTGGATGCTCATCTGACCGTAATTAAATACCTAAAACCCCTGAGCTTCCGGGGGCTCTGCCCCCTGGACCCCACCAAGGGCCCTATAAGGCGGGCCCCTGGATGCTCATCTGACCATTATTCAATACCTAAAACCCCTGAGCTTCCGGGGGCCCTGCCCCCTGGACCCCACCAAGTGCCCTAGGGCGGCCCCTGGTTGCTCATCTGACCGTAGTTAAA